TTTGAATTACGATGTGTCTTAGTTTCCCAGGGCTGCTGAACAAAAAGTACCCACAAACTGCAGGGCTTAAAATGGATGTTTACTTTTTCCCAGGTCTGGGGGCTAGAAATCCGAAACCGAAATTCGGCAGGGCCAGGCTCCTTCCAGAGGTCCTTCCTCACCCCTTCCAGCTCCTGGTGGCTGCCGAGGGCCCTTGGGGTTTCTTGTCTTGTAGCCGCATCACTCCAATCCTTGCCTCCATCCCCAGAGGGCCTCCCCGCTGCATGTCTGTGTCTGTGTCCAAACTTCCCTCTTCTTAGGAGGACACCAGTCCTCCTAAGGACCTGGCGGGCCCTCCTCCAGTGTGACCTCGCTTTAACTTGACTGCATCTGCAAAGACCTAATTTCCACACGAGTTCACATCCCCAGGTCCTGGGCATTAGAATTCGGACATATACTCCCGGGGGACACAATTCTACTCACTACATGTGGTCGCTTTATTTGCAGTCTTTAATAAAAGCATTTAAACATATGCACTTACCTCTGAGTAGATCCCACAGGTTCCAATAAGGATGTTTTCATTCTCCCGCTTCCTAAATAGTGTGTTGTATTTTGACTTCCTCTTTGATCCCTAATTACGTAAGAGACTGATTTAAAAGTCCTAAGCACCTTGAGATCCCCCCACTATTGCTGCTTTGTTCGCTGAGTTTTTGTTCTTTATTCTTCTAGTCCAAACGTTAAACGTTGAACAATGCAGTCTTAATTCAAATGCAGAAGTCACCTCCTAGCCACCGATTTCTAAATCCCACTCCCACAGACAGGGGCTAACAACTTGGAGTGTGACTTCCTAGAACTATCTCTTGTGTCCACAGAGGTACTGGGTTTAATGATCTGCCTCCAATGCTCCGGCAGCAGGAGAAAGGCATGTGCCCTGACTGGGAATCCAACCAGCAACCCTTTGTTTTGTAGGCTGGCACCCAATCCATTGAGCCACACCAGCCAGGGCACAGAAGAATTATTTAATTTCTAACATATCCCAAGGTGAAATCTTTTCTAAAATTTCAGACAGATAGGTATAACGAATTAATAAGCCTGAACTTTAATTGATTTGTCTATTTCATTTCCTCATTTCAGATTACTTTTGATTCAGTGACTTTTAACTTTGTCTTAGAAAGGTAAAGGATAGGAATTCAGGCTACTGATAGACTCCCAAGTCTTTGCTCTTAGCACTCCTCATTCAGAAAACCGCAGATGAGCCCGAGGTGCACCCACGTGTCACTCCCAGGGTGCCTGTGCGGTAAAATGTGGGGCTGACTCACCACTGAACACCAGGTCAGGGTTCCCAAATGCCTTTACTTCATGGCACCCTTAGAACTTCAACAAGTTTTCCACTGTACTCGCAGGCCAACAAAAAATGGCCATCAGCTCTGTTCATTACGTAGTTAGGTCCAAACAGCTTAACATATATTTATAGCCGAACATCTTGGTAGCTGCTTGAAGGAAATAATACACATAAATGGGAGGAGGAAATACTTCATTTGATTCTTAATCAGAATCACTTCCCAAAGCGACGTGTATGCCCCTTGGGCAGCGTGCACCTCCTAAAACGCTGGGATCAGACGGGACACTGCCATCCTTCTGTTTCCCCTCGATTTCCCTTTGTACAGGTGTAGGGTAAGTGGAGGCAGCCTGGCTTCCTCACCCAGGAGTCTGGGTAGCGAAGGGAAGCAATGTTCCCCGAGCCCTGGAGGGGCCTGAGAACTAGTGTGCTCCTAGCCTCGAGACTGGGTCTGATAAAGTGTTCCCATAACATGAAGTGAGCTCGCATGCACAGAATTATGCTATGTTATGTAACTTCTGGCACCTTGCCAGCTTCGTTCCCATCTAGCGTTTAAACAGGTAGGGATTCCCTGCTGGGGTGATGATGATGAGAGACACGCAAGGGGACAGGTGCCACGACGGGTGTCACGCTGGGGAGCAGGGGCCATGACAGGAGACATGCAGACAGACACGCAGCTTGCAGCCTGTGTGTCTCACCCACCCGTGAATAAAGGCATGCCAGACAGCCCAACAGCTCTATGAATACTTTCCCATCTGCACAAATACCACGAACCTGCCGGCCTTGAAGGGTGGCAACACAACTTGCTTCTCACCGCAACTGCTGCAGACACAACCTGGCAGAGACGTGAGGCTACAGCATGGAAAGGAACGTAGCACAATTGAATGTCGGCCTGCGAGCTACCTGAGTGAGCAGTTCACATGGCGCCTGACAGGTGTTGGGTGTCACTGTGTTTTCTTAGAACAGTAAAGAGATCCCACAGGCGCCCTGTGGGTCCCCTGCAGCTTCTCAGGCACGTGGTTTGGGCACCACAGATTTAGATCTACATATAACGATGTAAACACACCGTGAAAACAGTGCTCAATAAAAAAGCACTTAAGAACTATGGCCTATGGAGATTAGCCGAAGAATATATATGTGTGTATGCATTGCCCATGGACACGGACAACAACGCCATGAAGACGGGGGGGTGGGGGGTGGAGGAAGGCAAAGGGTGGGGGTGGGGGGGATGGGACATTGGTAATAGTGTCAATAATAAACAAATATACAAATAATAAAATAAACTATGGCCGATGGGGTGCCACTGAGTCTGCTCTTGCAAGGCTTCGATGACCCGCCTTCTGACTGCTACACTGTGGACAGGTTTCCATGCAGCATTTGACCCTGTGGAGAGTGGCCTCCCAGGAAGGTTCTCCCTTTGGCTTCCACCACACCCCTCTCTCGCGGTCTCTTTTGGCTTGTCCTTTGCGGTTCCCTCTGGGGGTCTCCAGCTTTCCACGCTGAGTCCTTTCTGCACTCTCTAGGCCCCTCCCACTGGCAGCAGCTGATAATTTGCAAACTGCTGTCATCAGCCCACACTTCTTTCCCCGAGCTGGAAGCAACACACCCGATAGCCTGCTCAAGGCCTCCACGCAGACATCCGCAGGGAGACTTATCCCACCGTCTTCCCCGAGCCTGCTTCTCTGCCCGTGTGTCCTAACTCAGAGAACAGAGCCAGCCCCCTCTGGCGGCGGCCTGCACTAGGTTGCCCTGGTGGCCACAGTTCTTCATTCCTCTGTGCATTGCACCCTCACCGCGGCCTCACCCTCACCTCTTGTGGCTTTGTTCCAGCCACAAGACTGACCCGTGGCAAAGAGGTGGGAACGCAGATGCCTTTTCCAAGCCTAGGCCCTCAGAGGCCTCACAGGTTGGTTCTGGTCCTCTTACGCTCTGCTGCTTTAGGAGAGGGGCATGCTGGGAGCATTCTGCTGGTCTGAGGAACAGAAAGATGAGCGACACGTGGAGCCGAGCCACTCCAGCCGATCTTAGCCAAGATCAGCCCACCCCACTGACCTGCTGACCTGTGAGGGGCAATAAAGGTTATTATTGTTTTAGCCACCACTGTTGTGGGGGGGGGGCGGTGTTGTTATGCATCAACAGTTAACCCAGCAGGTCACCTAGACCAGAAAACTGGACACTTCCTTCGACATCTCTCAGCCCACAAAGGCCCCAGAGCTTCCTAAATCTCTGAGCCCATCTCTTTCTCTGCGTCCTTTGCACCTCTGCCCTAGGGCAGGCCTCCTGCCACCACATTCGAACCGATTTTCTCTTCCCTCCCCTCTACCCAGTCCTCCACCTGGCACCTGCCACGCTCTTCCTAGTGTGCCACTGGGATCACGTGACTCCTCCTCTGTGGGAGGGCTTTGCCCACTTAGGGCCTTGGGTAAGGGGAGGAGCCTTGGGGAGACTGTCCACATAAGAAACGTCCAAACCAGGGGCTCCCCTGAATCCTTCTACTACTGGGTGCCCCCTTTCAGGACATCAGCAAGGAAGATGACACAGTTTGGAATTAAGATGTCTGTCGTCATTTCTTGTTAATGGATCCGATCATGGATATGCAGTATCCTTGTGGAAGCAAATAGGCTTTCAGACCTCCAGTCTGCTCTGTGGCCATGGTGAGAGGACCATTATGTCAAGAGAAAGGATGAGTCACCAGAATGGCAGAAGTGCCACAGCCCAAAGGAAAGGTACCCGGAGCAAGACAAGGCCACCCTGTGTGGGGGCTTGAGAAGAAGAAGCCAGTGGCCTTGACCTTCGTGAGATATTTGTATATTGCCACGGACCTTCTCACAAGGCTGCCCAGCAACTTGTCTTGTTTAGTGGTTACATGTGGATTCTGGAGTCAAACTTAGTGGCAATGGGCCCAGCTCTTGCTGTTGACCTTGGGGTCTGGGGCTAAGAGGAGGGTCTGGGCTCCAGAGAGGGTGGGGGGTGGAGGGAGAGAGAGAGAGAGAGAGAGAGAGAGAGAGAGAGAGAGAGAGAGAGGATGAGACCATTGCACCAGGGGCTCTGATGGGCTGGGAAGCTTCTGGGAGGGGTGTGTCACCTGACTTCTGGAAGAAGTCAGTCCTAGGGACAAGAAGGACGTGGCCAGGTGGAATGAGGGAAGGGGAGGTGTCCCCAGCTCCAGGAAGATAGGGAGGGGGTCTAATCCTGGTTCTCATTCCTCCTTGGGCAGGAACAAATGAGTCCCTCCGTGGGGGCGCCCGGACTTCTGGTTTTAGTTACAGAGGTGGGATGTGGCACATGGGCCACTCAGCCTGCCTGGGTCAGGACACGGCCTGCAGGAGCCCAGAGCCCCTAGCCCCAGGGACATTGTCCTGTGACCCCTGACGTGTGTCCACCATGAGTGGACAGCTGTTCCAGTACCCAAGACACGGCCACGGAGGTCTTCAGATTCAGGGCCATCGGAGAGAGAGGTAGGGACAAGTCTGCTTCAACTTGGATGGGGTGGAGGGAAGGGGCGCGGGGGTGGGAGGGAACGGGCTGCGCAGTGGGCGCCGGTCTCTTGCGCAGGTTCGAAGTCCCCAGTCCCGGTCAAATGCGCGTCCGCGCCCCCGTCGCCCGGCAGGCGGAGCCAGAGCACAGCCTGCTCGGGACTCGGGTCTAAAAGTCCGCCTGGGCGGGGCGAGGGGCGGGCCCCTGCGTCTCCGGGCGTTAGAGCGCGGCGACGGTCACGCCGCGGAAAGGAAGGACTAGCGCGCTGCCTGAGCCTCCGCGGCCATGGCCAAGCGGTCCGCTCCCCGCTGCTGCCTGGGCTGGGACTTCAGCACGCAGCAGGTACTGTCACGGGCCGTGGGCCCCGGGGCCGCCTCCTCTGCATCGCCGGACAAGCTGGTGGGGATCCCGGTGTGGGGACACCTGGGCCAAGCCGTGGGCACACCTTCCTCTCGAACTTCTAGGGGACCCCGCGCCCCTGTCCTAGGACACCTTATCAGTGCCTTCCGCTCAAAAGATGCCACAGCTCCCCAGCCTGTATCCCGGCCCTCCGCGTCCGCCTCCCCCTTCCTCCTCCCACCCCCGCGGCAGGATCTTGGGGTCACTTGGTGGGGAAGTGCCCAGAAGGGTGTGGGGACCTCACGGGCTCGCGCGCCGTCCTAGCCACCCAGTGACAGGAACCCGAAGGAACTCTGCCACTGTAACTACTGCAAGGCAGGGAAACCGCCCAACGGGTAGATGAGCACACAGGCATGAACAGTGACCTGGAACTGTATCACCGCTTGAAAAGTGTTAAGTGCAGTGGGTACAATACACACGTGAACTTTGTTCCACCCTTGTTTGGCACCGGCGTGCCCGGGTCAGCGTGCCTAACACTGCTGGCCAGAGGACGCGCTGTGCTGCTCTGAGGACCCCGCAGGCTGGCAAGCGGTCAAAAGTGGCCTTCATACTGGGCATGGGTGCCAAGGCACTCCTCCCTAACCTGGGAAGTCAATACAATTGTAATCGAACCCCTCCCATCAGACGGGCCAAGCCAGTTGGTGACCAGGAAGTCCTGTGGGACCCTGGACAAACCAGATTGCCTTGCAAGACCTCAGTTTCCCCATCTGCCTAGGGAAGGAATTGTACCCTTGGGTTTGGAGGTTTACTGCATTGGGGCACTATGTGTTTCCCGACCATGGCCGTGGCCTATGGAAACAGCCCAGAGGCCTTGGCCTGGTAGCTCAGATCCCTACAGACATGGTCCCTAGAGACATCTCCAAACATTAGCCTGCCATTTCTTCCCCTCTAGGGCTTTTTTCAGGCCTCTGGGCCAGGAGCAGGGAGCAGCTCATTATGAGCATCTGTCTCTTAGAGAGTTTTGGCTTTGGCTGTTTGATAGGCAGAGATTCTTTGAGCTATCTGGGTGTTTCAGTTCGGTCTCGGTGTCTTCATTATACTCAGTCTTTGGGTGTGTCCCCAGATAAGGCCCGTGGTTATGATGATGCAGCCCAGCCTTCCAGCAGGTCTCCAGGTTGAACCACTCACTTCTAGGGTGCTGGGCCCTGCCTGATGGTGTATTATCCCTGGGCCATTGTCGAAGCTGAGGAAAAGGCTACACACCATCTCTCTGAATGCCTTCCAGGTGAAAGTTGTGGCTGTTGATGCAGAGCTGAATGTCTTCTATGAGGACAGTGTGAATTTTGACAGGGACCTCCCAGAATTTGGGTATGTACTCAGGGTATGCGTTTCTGTGGGGGGGGGGGGCTGGGGGTTGGTTTGGGGGTCTTCACTCAGCCTTTTGCATTCATAAACATACTCTTCTGGCCTCATCAAGCTGCAGGAGTGGTGGTCTGGCTGGAACTCTGAGCACTAGGAAAGGAGTTATACCCTTGGGTTTGGAGGTTTACTGCATTGGGGAACTATGTGTTTCCTGACCATGGCCATGGCCTATGGGAACAGCCCAGAGGCCTTGGCCTGGTAGCTCAGATCCCTGCACACATGGTCCCTAGAGACATCTCCAAACCTTGGCCTGGGATGCTCTCTCCTCCAGTCCTTCCCAGTTCCATCCATCCATTCATGCATGCATGCGTGTATGCAGTAGGTGCCAGGTGGGACTTTGCATCAGGTACTGTGCTCAGTGCTGAGAATTTTCTCTAAAGGGAATCATAAGTACGTACTTTTTAATGTGATTTTAAAAATTCAGTACAATCATTTTGAGATTCATCCATGTTGTTAGGTGCATCAGTAGTTTGTTCTCTTTATTGCTCAGTGGTATCCATTGTATGGATTGCCATTAGTTTATCCACTCACCTAATGAGAGAGACGTTTGAGTTGTTTCCAGATTTTTAGTATTTTAAATAGAGCGACTGTGAAATTCACATACAAGTCTTTGTGTTGACATAAGCTTTCATTTCTCTTGGAAATGAAATACCTAGAAATGGCTAAGTTGTATGGTAGGTGTATGTTTAACTTTGTAAGAAATTGCCAGTTCTCTTCCAAAGTGGTTATGTTAATAAAAATGTTTTGTGAGTAGGCATTGCATATACTCGGTACACAATTCAAAAGAAAACAAAAGGCATACAGTGAAAAGTCTTAATTCCTCTGTGATCTCATTTCTTCCCTCCTGCCCTCCTTACTGTTTTAGTTTTGTGTGTGTCCTTCCAGTGTGTCCTACTGCAGTATTAACAGATAAGAATATCCTCATTTCTCCCTTCCTTACACACACAGGACGTTACCATTCTGTACTCTGCTTTCTTCATGTCTCAATCACGGGGCTATGTTTCCATGTCCGTACATGGAACTTCTGTGTTCTTTTTAGAGATGCATCCTACTCCACTGGGTAGATTTAGCATCTTCTATTTAAGGATATTGGGTTGTTTGCAATGAAAAATGATGTAGTGAATTACCTACATAGGCTATCACAGACAGGGCCAGTCTATCTGTGAGATAAAATTTCGGCAATAACATTGCTGGGTCAAAGAGCAGATAGATTTATACTTTTGGAAGATGTAGCCAAATTGCCTCCCACAGAGACTGTATCAATTTACACCCCAACAGCAGTACACGAGAGTGTCTGTTTCCCACAGCACTGCTAATTCAGGGGGATGGTAAAAGAGGTTTTGGTTCTCTGCCAGTCAGAAAGGTGAAAAATGATATCTCTGTATAGAGATATACCTTGTAGAAATAACTTGCATTTCTCTTGTCTTGAATGAAGCGGAGCATCTTTTCATATGATGAAGGGCTACTTGAATTTATTTTTCTGTGAAGTTATTTTTCATGTTCCTTGCCCATATTTCTGTTTGATTGGTTATCTATTTCTTGTTAATTTCTAGGAGCTCTTCATGTCTTAGAGGAATTGTCTCTGTTGTTACATGAATTGCAAATATGTTTCTCAGATGGTTGTTTCTTTTCACTTGTTATGGGTTGTTGCTGTTGTTACCATTCATGGGTTTTTGTTTTGTTTTCTATGCCATTGAATTTCTCCATCTGTTTTTCTATTGCTTCTAAATTTTGAGTCATACTTTAAAAAAACCTTCCTTACTCAAGATTATGAAGGAATTCACTTACGTTTGCATCTGGTTCTTATAATATTTCAGCCTTCTTTTTCTTTATTAAAGATTTATTTATTTTTAGAGAGAGGGGAAGGGAAGGAGAAAGAGAGGGTGAGAAACATCAATGTGTGGTTGCCTCTCATGCGCCCCCTACTGGGGACCTGGCCCACAACCCAGGCCTGTGCCCTGACTGGGAATCCAACTAGCAACCCTTTGGTTTGCCGGCTGGCACTCAGTCCACTGAACCACACCAACCAGGGAAGACTTCAGTTTTCTTATATAAAAATATTTCGAGTTTATTTAGGTACATGGCAGGACTTTTATATATAAATTTATTTTTTTTCCAGATGACTAGTTGTTTTAACAGAATTTTGTAAAGATTTTATGTGTTTTGCTTTTTTTTAGAGAGGGGGGAAGGGAGGGAGAAAGAGAAGGGGAGAAACAGCAATGTGCAAGAGATACATCTATTGGCTGCTTCTTGCACACCTCCAACTGGGGACCCGGCCTGCAACACAGGCATGTGCCCCGACTAGGAATCGAACCAGCCACCTTTCGGTTCACAGGCTGGCACTCAACCCATTGAGCCAGATCCACCAGGGCTTAACAGAATTTTTTAGAAGTCCACCTTTACTTCACTGATTTGAGACACCAGTTTCAGCATATGCTAAATTTCTCTATATGTTTAGGTCTATTTCTGGGTATTTTCTTTTGCTTCATTGGTTGGTGTATCTGTTCATGAACCAGTAACACATCATTTTAATTATTCCAGCTTTGTAAAAGGATTTAATACCTGGAATTGTTGGCCCCCTCTGATTGCCCTTTCTTTTCAGTTTCCATGGCTACTTCTTGTGCTTTGCCACTCTGTATTTTAGAATTAGCATTTAATATTCCAGAGTGCAAAATCGTTAATATTTTTGAGATAATATTACATTTCCAAATTAACATGAAGGAATTGACAAGAGATCCAGTCTTTCTGCCTAAGCACATGCTATGTTTTTTCATGTGTTCAAATGTTCTTTTGACCACTTCATGTATGTCTTAATATGTTTAATATGTGGATTTTTCACATTGTAGCAGATTGCAAAAATGACCCTAATTCTCCACGCCTCCCTGTACCACTGCCCTTTGCAATGTGACTCTGCCGCTCCTTTCCTCAAGAGATGGAGTCTTTCCCGGCCTGTTGATTTTAATCGGTGGAACATGGGGGAAGTAACATTGTACCAGTTCTAACCCTAACCCCCAAGAGGCTTGGCTTGGACTCCTGCACCGCCGCCACATGGACCAGCTCAGGCTAGCCTGTTGGGGAATGAGAGACACGTGTCCTAGTTGCCCCCCATCCCCAGCTAAGAGAGGCAGAGTTCAGCCCCCAGAGGCAGAGCCATCTAGCTACACTTAGCTGATCACAGATGCGTGAGTGAGCCTCGCCGAGACCAGAAGGGCCACCCAGCTGAGCCCAGCCCAGTGACTGACCAACAGAATTGTGAGCTAAGTAGTTTCAAGCCACTACGTTTTGAAGGCTTGTGACAAGGCAAAGGCTACCCAGTGCACATGGTTATTTTAAACCTTATTTCTAACTATTTTATCGTTTTGCATGAGAGTCTTAGAGGGGTGAGGAGGGGAGGGAGAGGGTCCCAAGGAATCTCCCATGGCTTGTACTCCAAGGACTCGGTCTGATAGCCAAGAGCTTCCTCACAGGTGCAGCAGCTCCAAGAGCCGTACCTCTGCCTCTCCAAACGCAAATGGATTTGGGAAGGGATCTTATCCAGCCCTGTGACCCCCCGACCCCCCAGTTCCTTCTTCACCATTGCACCGTGTGACACCATGCCTGCCCTCCAAGGCTTGTTTTTGCCGGTGTTTCCCAAGAATTGCCACCTCTGGGCCACTCGGGGCAGTTTCCGTGCCTCCTCTTTTCACCTCACTCTGCATTCGTGCCTGTTCCGTCCGTCTGTCCGGGGCTCCCTCTTGAGGTTGGGGGAGGGGGCGTTCCTGCTTCCCCCGGAGGCATCCTGGATCTGCCACCACTGGGCCTCTGCCCGAGCTCTGTCCCACCGTCTCTCTTGCTCTCCTTGTAGGACTCAGGGTGGAGTTCATGTTCACCAGGACGGCCTGGCAGTGACTTCTCCAGTCCTGATGTGGGTCCAGGTAAGCACGGGGGTTCCTGTCCCTCTCCTGACCCCAGCCTGTCTTACCTACAGACCTAGCTCAGGAGAGAGCGTCTGTCGAGACCAAATCCTCACGGGGAAGCAGACTCCGCCCGGTTCCTAGGGCCAGGCTCCGCCTCAGCTGGTGTTGGCGCTCCTGAGCTGAGAGAGCTCGCAAAGGGCTCCCGAGTTCTGGAGCCATAGCAGCCGGGAAGCCCAGCCAGTCTTCATCTTTAAAATACCACAGAGCAGACCTCTCCCAAACACTCTGCAGCCACCTTTGAACCCTGAGATCCAAACACAGCCTTGGGTTCTCAGGGCTCCGTCCCCAGCCCCCGCACCTCCCAGGGCAGGGGTCTCCGGGTGGTGGCTCGTGACCTGCCCCACCAGGTTCAGATGGATCCCAAGCAGGCCTGCCCACGCAAGACCAATGAGAAAGGAAGATCCCTGTTGCTAGATCCAGGTGACCCATGGGGCCACAGGACTGGGGGCGTGGACCCCACAGACAGGTGTAACGGGGCTGGGGCCTGCTCCATAAGCCACCGGGCACCCAAGGCCCTGCAGCTGGAGGCCAGCCACCAGCAGGACCCAGTGTGTCTGTCAGAAGCTTTCCCAGCCCTCTGACACCTGTGTGACCAACCTGCTGTAGTAAATTCTTCCTGTTAAGATAAGGAGTGTGATTTCTCTTTCATCTGCCTGACCCCGACTCATCCTGGAGGACGAGGTAAAGGATGAACTCCCACCAGGCAGGCTGGCTGGAATGTGCTTCAGAGGGCTGGGCCAGACAGAGGGGCCGTGGTGGGGAGCACGGGGGCAATAGGCAAGAGTGGGTGCCTAGAGGTCCCAGTGATGATGCCGAGACCCTAACTTGGGGAGGTGAGCACTGGGGAGGGAGCCAGGCCTGGGGTTGGGGCCAGGGCGGTTCCTGTAATAATTCTGAGCAGGCCCCAGGCCTGGACCTGTTCTAGCTTTGCCAGTCCCTGCCCCAGCCGTTCCACGCTCCCTGCGAGAGGTTTGGCAGGCAGGGTTAGAGCTGAGAGCCCCAGCCGGACTGTGAAAGCCACCCCCCTGCACAGGGTGGGCAGGGATGGTGGGGTCAGCCAAAAACTCAGGTGGCCTCCCTACCCACAAGGAGATGCCTGGGGACTCTAATTCCTGCAGTGAAATCTCAGGGGAAGCGTCGAGGCCTCCTGGGCTCTGCCCTCCCCACCCCACAATGGGGACTTGCTAGAGAGAAGGCCCCACCGGAAGGGAAGGCGGGTGGTGAGGGGTTTGAGACAAATGGCTGCCAGCTGTCCCTGCTCGCTCTGCGACCTTGCTCTCCTGGACCCGGGGAGTGCAGGCCTGGGGCCCTTTTCCGCTGGGTGTCCTCTGCTCTGCTCTCCGCTTCTCCATGGCAGAGAAGTGACATCCCTAACAGGGTGGGTTGAAAACGCAAATACAAGAAACCAAAATTTGAGCCGCCTTGTCTTCTCTCTTCCTGAGTACCTAGGAGTCACAAACCAGAGAAGCAGAAATGAAGGGTTAATGGTGTGCGCTTTCATGCATTTAACATGTGTTTAGTGTAGCTCACCTTTTCGTTTGACTGATGCCTCCGCGTTTAATTAATGTATCCGTTCCTCCTTTGTCACCCCCGCTGTAATGACAGGCACTTCCATCTTGGTGTGGGGGTGGCTGGATTTTGGTTCAGCGCAGTCACGGTGGATTCTGTTTTTCTGCTCAGGCTTTGGATAGCATCTTGGAGAAGATGAAGACGTCAGGCTTTGACTTCTCGCGAGTCCTCGCCTTGTCCGGGGCGGGCCAGGTCTGTCTGCAGCGGGCGGCAGGGACCGCGAAAGGGCAGCTGTCCTGGGCAGCAGGGCTGGTGCCGAGGGGCCGGCGCCCCCCGAGGGAAGGCACTCGGTCTTGAGACCCACTGCACAGGTTTTGTTGTTGGTAAAAGCTCCCAGCAGCTGTTTTGCCTTGGAGGGTGCAGGGCTAGGCTCCTTGCAGATGGATCTAAGACAGTCCTTATGATTCAGCACAGCAGAGGGCAGTGGGTGAGGAGGGACTGGATGGAGGGAGCGTTTGACGGGGATTTGTTCTGATGGGGGGGCCCTGAAAGTGCTTTTCTGTTTCCTGGGAGCAGAGCAGAGTCAGAAACCACACTAATAATGACGGCAGTCTTGTTAGTAGAGACATTAGTAATAATGACGGCAATGCACATTGAGCACGTAGTGCGTGCCGGGTGCGGTGCTGGGCCTTTGGTATGAATTAGCAGAGTCCTCATGCCATTTCTGCGAGGGGTGAGCACAGGGCTCTGGGCACACTGCCTGGGTTTGGCCCCCAGCTCTGCCGCTCCCAGCAGTGACCTGGGTGATGTCCCCCCAGCCCTGGTGCCTCCTTACCCTTGTCTGCCACAGGCTCAATGTGAGTGTTAAATACGTAAAATTCAACAGTGCCTGGTACATACAATCCAGAAGTTTTAGCTGCTGTTTTTATTACCATTGCCATTTACACGGGGGCACTAAGGCACAGAGAGGTGATGTCACTTGTCCAAGATCCCATGGCTACTAGGAGGGGAAATCGGGGTCCAGTCCAGATTCATTCTCAGAATCACTTTGCTCCCTGCTGGGTTAGCCCTTGTTAGACGGAGCTTAGTAATGCTTCTGAAGATAGCTCTTCTCCCCCTGACCTAACAGGAATTGGCTGCTTCTGTCCTCGTTAAAATAAGCAGATTCCCTGGGGGATCTGGCCTGCCTCTCACCTGAACCCAGGCCTGGACACCCTCTCCTTCCCAGCATCCTCTTCACCTCCATGGCCAGGTGTTCTATGAACACCCAGGCTGAGCACCCACCTACCCCAGACCTCCTCTTTCTCGGGTTCCCTTTCTCAGGGAACCCAGAAGCCACATCCTAGGGCCCCCTCAGGGGTTTGAACATGACTCTTGAATCTATCACTTCTTCCCCAACTCTGCCTCTGTGGCCCAGGCCCAGTGCCATCATTTTCCCCTGGGCCTCTGCCTCAGCCTCCCTGCCTCCAGCCTGCCTCCCCCCAGGTTCCCACGGGCCCATTCAGACCTTCCACCCTGGTCACATCCTGCCCATCCAGAGTCCCCACCACCTCCGGGACAAACCCCAGCCTTCTGAGCCTGGACATCAAGGCCCTGGTGCTGCCACCTTGCCCGCTAGCCCCGTCACCCACCTCCTGCCCCAGCTGCAGGCCCACTGCTTAGAAAGCCACCCTCCCCTACACCGGCCAGGTTCTCTCTCTCACCTGTGGTCATACTCTGCCTGGAGTAAGCACACACTCAACTCTGGGATTCCTTCCTCACAGTCATGCCTGCTTCTACCTGTCTGTGCCCCTAGCTGGTTAGAGGCCCCTCCTGTCTGTCCCCAGCCCTATCACTGCACCTCCAGGGCTGAATGAATGGATAAGCGAACGAATGAGTGAATGTCAGGAAATTTCATGAGCAGTATATTAAATACACTTTTATAAAGGCACCAAAATCCAGACCGATCTGTCTTTCTTGGAGCCTGCCTACAAACTGAGGGGTGGACAGGGCAGAGTCCCTCCCCAGTCTGTGGATGTGACAAGCAAGGCTCGTGAAGACGGGAGGCTCTAGGGCTAAGAAGGGCAAGGGTGGGGGCTGGAGCCCAGGTCTTCGGGGTGTGGTCTGGGGTCTTCCTGGGTCTCCAGAAGGCTGTGACGCCAGTGTGTGGCCAATGAACATGCCCTTGGGTTTCCCTGGACAGCAACATGGAAGTATATACTGGAAGGCCGGGGCCAGTCGGGTGCTGACGAGCCTGTCACCAGACCTCCCGTTACGCGAGCAGCTGCAGGTAACTGGCCAGGTGGGGGGAGGCAGAGAAACTGCTGCGGGCGGGGGGGGGGGGGGAAGGCCTTGAAGCCGGGGGCGGGGGGGGGGGGTGGTTAGGGCGTGGTCAGGGCATAGGAGGCCGGCTCGGGTGGTGGTCCTGTGAGCATGGTTGGGCCTGTCCCCCTGCAGTGGGCATACCTGGTGTCCGGACACAGGGTCAGGTGCTACCAGTCCTCAGCGCCCTGCTTGACCCTGACTCAGTCCCCCCTTAGGAATCTCCCTGTGGGGCAGGGCACCTCTTCCTGATGCTGATAGGCCAGCTCTGGCTTTTCTTTCCGGCTCCAAACGCCACTGCCAAGCTGCACGAGCACTTTCCTACCCACCTCTAGTGTTACCTGCTGCGCTCGGGCGTCCTCACTAGGACCTTCAGTGTCGGGTTTGGGGGGAGGAGACCCCAGTGGGCCAGATGGAGGTGTGGGCGTGAAGGGCTCACCCAAGGTCACGTCCAGGGAAGCAGCGTCCACACCTGCCGTGATGGGCAGCGTGACCGCCAGTCCCAGGTCAGCAGGCGGAGCCCCCTCTTCGCAGGCCTGCTTCTCCATCAGCGACTGCCCAGTGTGGATGGACTCCAGCACCACCGCCCAGTGCCGCCAGCTGGAGGCCGCCGTGGGTGGGGCCCAGGCTCTCAGCTGCCTCACCGGCTCCCGCGCCTACGAGGTGGGCAGGCCCTGTGGGCTGGGGTTGCGGCTGGTCTTGGGAGGAGGGTCTGGTTGTTGGCTCGGGTACCTGTTCTTGGGGCGTCTGGGAGAACACAGCTGGCGGCCGGCCCCTGTGTGGGCGTCGCCTCAGAGGAGCCAGGACTGGGCACTCTGGCCCCTGGTCCTGCTCCAGGCCGTCCTGCCTCCATGTGCCGCCCATTGAGCAAGGCACACCTCCCTGTGCCTGTTCCCAGGTCCAGACCCAGGTGTGAGCACGGCTGTGCCCCTCACATCGAGCCCAGGGGATGCTGGGACACCGGCTTCAGCCTCTAACTTGAGGACAAAAGTAGCACTTACATTTTGGGTAGTTTTGAAGCTGAAAGGAATCCGTGCGTATAAGACACCGGGCAATTCCTGGCAAAGTGAAAAAAAAAAGTCCCTTTTCCTGCTGGCACCAGCTGTGGTCCCACCCCAGTGCACAGATGGCCGCCACCCGCCCAGTGCCACGTTGGGTCATGTGACCCTCCCTGGGGCAGAGGCTTCAGGGCACAGGGCCAACCCTACCTACTTGGGCCACCCCAAGGAAGAAGGGTGTGGGGGGGGCAGACACCCGAGTCCCCTGCACAGGTGCCCGTGGTCACAGTGGCCCCCGTGCTGTGCATGAGCCCCCCCACCAGGCCTATTCGCTGAGGGCGGTCAGAGGCAGCACCATTTCCGAGGCCTTTCAAGGCCTTCGTTGTACGAACGGTCGCCCGGAGCGTGCCGCACGTGCGGCACGTGACGGAGTTCACCACGTAGGGTTTGGGTGAATGTAAGAATTCTCCGTCTTTTTCCAGCGGTTTACGGGAAACCAGATTGCGAAGATTTACCAGCAGAACCCCGAGGCCTACTCACACACGGAGGTCGGTCAGACGTCCCTGCTGGGTGGAAAGTCACCGTCCAATTCCTGTTGTGATACTTTCCTCCAACAGCAATACAGCTCGTGCGCATGGGGCGAAAACATTGGTTAGCAGACATTAAAAACGACATATTCCGTGGGCTTTTTTCTCCTGTGGGGACAATTTGCTTGTTTCCAAAAAGGAGGGAAAGAATGGAATCGTGGGAAAGGGAAGTCAGGGGGTGCAGGTCAGGGTTAGGGGGGTGGGGGGAGCCGCAGGGATGGGCGTCCTCCTGGGACCAGCCGAACGAGAGATCCGGGTGCCCTTTAGGCTCTGTGCCCTCCGTCTCCTGAGCGGTCAATGCGGCGTGGCTACCAGGCTCTCGACTGGCATGGGGTCAGTGTTTCCAGAGGGACTTTGTAAAGCTGGACTGACGTGTCCTCGGCCGTGGCCCTTCGACCTGAGGCTGCGTCCCAGGAACCCAGATGTAGTTGTTGATCGGCTGGCTGGTCCCCTGGCTGGAAGCCCGCACTCGGTGCTGCCTGAGAAGGCGCTTGGCGCCCCCGGTAGCAGCAGTTTCCCTCTCGGGGTAATTAGACAGCGGTCAGCTCGTGATAAACCAAGGGGCCTTTTTAATCTTGGGAGTTAATATCCATTTATCATTTAATGATTCAAGATTACGTTGTAGCATTAGCCATGGAGGTTGGGGGCAGGAGTAAAAAGTCCTCTCCAAATTCTGTGTGAAACAGAGGACAGAGGTCGCCTGACGGGGGGACAGGAGGTGTCATCCTTCTCTGCCCTGGTCCAAAGGTCCGTGGTTCCCGTGAGGAAGCTCAGACCCTCGGCTGACACTTGAAATCCGTTCTCAGTTCCTCCAGCTCATGTCTGGGGTCTTGGGCGTCCGAGGGGCCCGCTTTCACGGGCACTTGCTCTGAACCCCCAAGGGTGTCTCCGTGGGAGGTGTGGCCACACCACGGCCCTTGGGACCAGGTACGAAGACCCCAGGAGGGGAGGACGGAAGTCGGGCCACCACACTCCCCGGATTCCCAGTGGAAAACCCGCTCCCCTGAGCGTGGCGTTGTCACAGGGCCTGTTGCTCCTTGTCTCTGTTGAACTTGACAGTTTTGTCATCTGCAGAGTGAGGTGCCACTGCCGTTCCTGCTCACAGCTCCCACATTCCTCCCAGTTCAGACCTCTTCTTGTGCGTGTGCTCGTGTGCTCGTGTGTGTGTGTGTGTGTGTGTGTGTGAGTGATGTATTCAGTTGCCTAGGGTGCACGGAATTGAGTCATACCCCGCTGTTTCCTTCTCTTGCAGAGAATTTCCTTGGTCAGTAGTTTTGCCGCTTCCCTGTTCCTCGGGTCCTACTGCCCCATTGACTACAGTGATGGTGAGTCCTGGGCGCGTGCCTGGGCAGTGGGCGTGCGGGGCGTGTCAGCCGCGGCCACCTGGGCGGGTGCCAGTCTTTGAGCTCTGTTATCTGTTGCCAAGGAGGGAGAGTATTCGTTATCTTTTGCTGTGCAACAGATGACCGCAGCTCGTGGCAGCTGAAGATCACAAATGTTTCTTATCCCACAGAGTGTCTGAAGGTCAGGAATCTGGGAGCAGCTTAGCTGCGTGGTTCTGGCTCAGGATCTCTCGTGAGGGGGCCACACAGCTGGCCACCAGGGCTGCGGTCATCTAAAGGCTTGTCCGCGGCTGACAGGTCCAGGGTCACACACATGATTGTTGGCCAGAGGCCTCAGTTTTTCCCCGTGTGAGGCTCTTGTGGGGCTGTGAATGACAACACTGCCGGGTTCCGCCACTAGGGGGTGGGAGAGGAAGAGAGCAGCCCAGCAGAAGCTGCAGAGTTCTACACCCTAATCTTGGGAAGTGACACACCATCACCACAGGTTGCACAGACCTCCCCAGGGACGGGGAGGCGGGGACCTCACAGGTGTGAACACCTGGACTCTTGGAAGCTGGGGCCCACAGAAGTTATTTACTGAAGTTTTTGTTCACATGGGGGAACTCACGAGAGTTGTGAGTTTCTGGAATCAAAAAGGAACAAAACTAAATGGAATCGGTGCCAGCGAGGAAGGAAAGCTGGGTGGAGGTGCCAAAGGAGCTCCTGGGTGAGCTGAGATTAAAAGGAATGACCGGAAGCGGGGAGGAAGGTGTAGCGCAAGAGCCCAGACCCATGCAAGTGGCCTGAGAAAGAGCCAACGCTCTGGGCCTCCTGGGATTCACCTGAAGTTTCCAGGGAGCTAAAGTGAGGTGACTAAAGAGTGGTCCCCAAGCTTCACTCGCAGTCTGGAGGAGAAAGGCTTTTGACAGCTAACTGCGGAGAACTCAGAGCAGCAGAGCCTAAACCTGGCCTAGCTCGAGAGTCCACGCACCCTCCCCACCCCTGCCTGGGGCTGGTACGTGCTGCTGGGGAGGGTCACACCATGGCTCCAGTAGGCGTGCCAGAGGGTCACGTTCTTCAGCCTCCGCTGGGCCCTCCACGCCGCTCACCTGAGGAGTCACCTAGGTTACCAGCTGGCTAACCTCCTCTCGTGGGCACGTGACTCCATCCCTGTCCCATCCCAGATGGTCCGTCTGCCTCTACCTGTGCTCTGGGTCCCCTCCCCTCCCTCACCCCAGGAAAGCCTGGGGAGAAATGGGTGGTTTTAGGAAAGACTTAGTGAGCTGATCTTAGTGGCTAGTGTGAGGAGGAGGAGCCTGAGAGCTCTGCTTGAAGGCGGGTGTGATTGGGGAGTCCCCGCGGGCTGGCCCCCCTCAGCAACAGGCTGCCTCTGAGCAGAACCTGGACCCACAGGGGACACACAAGGGTGGATCCTTGTCAACACACTGCTGGTGGTTCCCCTCCCCGGGCCAGGTGTCAGAGCGGCAGCTCTCCAGGCCAGCCGGTGATCCCGCCGGTGAGGAGGTTCTCGGAGGATGAGGACGTGGTGGGGCCACGCGTTTCCTCGGGCCCTGCTGGTCCTGCGGTTCCGGCGCGACCCGGGCACGTGGTGCACGTCCCACTGGTACAGGTTTGCTGCGAGAGAATGAGCCGCTCCCTGCCGGGTTTGTGCATTTCTGCAAGACGTTTCTTGTGTCCTTTCTTCCTCAGGTTCCGGAATGAATCTGTTGCACATCCAGGACAAAGTCTGGTCCCAGGCTTGCCTCCGAGCCTGTGCACCTCATTTGGAGGAGAAGCTTGGCCCCCCGGTACCATCGTGCTCTGTCGTGGTAGGTCCTCTTTCCAGTGATGCAGCCTCTTTGAGAGCTGGCGGCCACGGAGAAGCAGTGCAGTACACACACATACGTTCGTGTACACACAGGACTTTCAGTTCAGTATAAGACAGGTCAAGTAACAGTTTGCATCAGTGCTTAGTAGGTACTCAGGTGCAGGTAGAGATCACTGCCTGTTGGCAGTGGAGGAGCGGGGAGATTTAGGAAATTCCACTAGAAATCTATTGGAATAGGGAAAAAAATGAAGGCAACATTTTCGGTGATTGCACACCTTAGGAATAAAGCACAGAAAAAGCGATTCCGAGGTTAGGGACCGGAGTGGAGCTAAAGCAGGCAGGCTGGAGAAAGCACAAGCTCCAGCGAGCCAGACAGAGCGCAGGCCCCCATGCCAGACCGCCTGGGACGGGACCCTGGCTCTGCCACTGACCGGCTCTGAGACTTCCTTCTGTGCCTCAGTTTCCTCGTCATTTCCATCGTTCCTGAAACAATTAGAACAGTAGTACTTTCTGTCTTGTCGGGCTGTTGCGTCAAATAAATGAATTGATACCTTTAAAGTATTTAGGATACTTGGGACAGTGCCTGGTCCCACTGTAGTAGTAAAAACATTTAAGCATTAGAGTGACGCCCCATTCAGAACAGACACGGCTGTGAGTGCCCTGGTGTTCCTGGTTGGCTGGCTCAGTTCTTGGCTGCTTGGGGGACAATGGAGTCGAGGGAGACCTGGGCCGTGCCCCCAGGACCCTTTGGTGAGGAGCACAGGCTACACAGCTAGAAATCCCCGGTGGGACAGAGAGGAAGGAGGAGGTCCCCAGGCCTGGGGAGAGGCGTGGAGCTGGGAGCGGTGGGCCACGAGGAGACCCGAATTACCACGAGCCCTCCCCCTCGGGAGTCCCAGCCACAGAGGCCCTTGTCCGAGATCAACACCGACAAGCTGGAAACAGCCTTTGCCATCAGGGACGGAACCACAAAGCCACACCCTCACCATCCAGAGGGCGCCCTGGGGGCCACCAGCACCCACAGCGGAAGGAAGGGCCCAGGCGGGGCGCCGCCTGGCAGAAAGGCAGAGGGAGAGTGAACAGAGCACAGACCAGCCGCTGGGGCTGGTGGTCCATGCATCGCTGTTAGTGTCCCAGAGATGGAGGGTGGTGTGTCATCGTGACAGCAGGCCCGTTTGCCTGGGGCCATGAACTTGGGCCTCCAAGGGGCGCCTGTGCGGAGACTGGCAGTTGGGGGCACAGGAAAGGACAGATTCTGGAATGGTTTTGCGTTTTCCACTGTAACATATGCACCGCGTGATGGTGATGGGGAAAACAAGAAAAATCCACTTTGTAAAAAATTTTCATTGATCCATTTTAGGGAGAGAGAGGAGGGGGAGGACAAGAACATCAACTTGTTCCATTTATTTATGCATTTATTGGTTGCTTCTTGTATGTGCCCTGACTGGGGATCGAACCCTCAGCCTTGGCATATTGGGACAACGTTCTAAGCAACTGAGCTACCTGGTCACAGCAGCAACATCCATTTCTATCATCTGTTTTTGGGGGCAGGTCGTGTCCAGGAGGATACCTGGTGATTGGTTGTATCAGACACCCCTCAGGCCCCACCTTGCATCCTCCGGCCAGCCTTTTTCGCCAGCCCTCCTCCCCTGGCAGCAGCCTGCCCAGGCTGCACCCCACTTCCCACACTTCACTCACACTCCAGAGCTTCTGCGGCTCCACATCTGTGCTCCGCAAACCTGGAGGTGCAGGGAGTAACCCCATGGGCGGGAGCCGCTGGGGAGCTGCTCCCCTGTCCCGTCTCCAGGTGGACAACCTCAGGTCCGCTTCCTACACTGACCCGTGGGTGGGCCTGGTCGCCCACGGCGCTGACCAGCTCAACATTGCACCCCAGGACGGACTTACCCTCCTTCCCATTTTACTCTTCTGCTTCCTCTCTTGCTTCCTGGGATCACTTTCCCAGATAAGCCCGCTGCCCACGAGCCCCGACACAGGCCGTGTTTCTGCGGCACCCGAGGCTGAGACCGTGTATCTCCTGAGACATGGCTTAGTCTGCTCTGAACTCGAGACTCTGCTGGAGGAAGCAAAACTCTCTTCCCAGACACCAGGAAGTCTTATTATTTATTTTGTACTTTTAGAACTAAGATGAAGTCAGGGAAAGGAGAAGAATTGTCTGTGTGTGTATTTGTTTTATACAACTATGCTTTCTGAAGACTCCATGTCTATCTAGAGGGTGTCCCTGCCCTCTGGTCCCACAGCAGCTCGTGGAGGGGCCTGAGGGCCTTGGTTCCTGAGGGTCCCCGCCCCCATACTGCCTTTTCTTCGGGTTTATTTTCTTTAGGACATCAACCTCTGCCTTTGTACGCGCAGTTATTTTGAGTCCGAGAGCTGGGCTGTTAGAGGGCGCGTGGAAGGGTCGATGGGCTCCCGTGAGTTTGCTTACTGCTGTCCCCCGGCGATTTATTTTTAAAGCTGTATCCAGAATTTGGAACTTACGTGGCAAGGACAAGTTGAGGATTGGGTGGCTCTGGCGGCCTTGCACCTGAAAACCAAGTGGGACTTCGAAGGGGTGGGATGAACCCAGTGCCCCGGGCTGCTCCGGCTGCCCACGCACAGGGGCGACGGATATCCTTGGCTGGCCGCAGGGTGTGGCGCGACTGCGGGTTCCTGTAGCTGCCCCGTGACGGCCTGAGGGGTGGACAGCTGTGCTGAGCAGCGGGACTGGCCTCAGCAGTGTGCTGGCTTTTTCCTCAGGGAGCCGTTTCTTCCTACTATGTCCAGCGCTACGGATTTTCTCCAGAATGCAAAGTGGTGGCCTTCACTGGGGACAACCCGGGTGAGTGCCTGTGGGACTTCACTCTCCACGTAGCCTGACTCGGTGACTCGGTCCACGAGGGCACTTGGGAATGCCAGCCCAGCCTCTCGGGGAAGCCCTCTGTGGGGGGGGCCCCCACTCTCTGGACTCTGGGCTCCACCCCTGAAACCCGACTCCTCGGGGCTGCCCCACCTTGGCCTGCCTGTCCTCAGGAGGCGCTGACATGTGCCTCCCCACCTTAGAGGAAGGCGGACCAGTGATTAGGGAAAGCAGTCCTACCTACCCCTGCTTGACCCGCCATTTCCATTCCAAGCCAAACCTCTCGGTGCCTCGTACCCTTCCTCTGGAACGCGGTTTTCAGTCCCTGAACTGTCATTCAACCTACAGAGGGGACTGAGTGCTTACCCATCCACTGTGTTTTCCTTTCAAAATGAACATAATGACAGGGAGTCTCATTAGGAACATGGACTCGTCCTTATACCCACTCTGACAACTAGAAGAGCGTCAGGGAGAATAATAAGTAGGGCCTGCTTATTAGCCACGCGAGATTCCAGACATGTTTGCATGGCAGTGACAAGGGAGCAGCTTTCTGTCCCCTGTCTTGGGCTCTGGTTGCAGGCTGACGGCCGAAGCCACCAGGCAGGTAACCCTCAGCCAGTCCCTCCCTGAGTCTGACCTTCAGTTTGCTGCTGCCTTAAACAATAACTTATTTACAGCTTCATGAAAATAACAACAACAGTAACAAGCAAACAGATGAACAAAGGCTCGTGCTTTTTTTTTTATTGCAGAAAATTTTTTTTTCAATACTGACAAACCAAAGGAAGGACGTGAAACTCATCCCTGACTCAGAGATAACCACAGTTAAAATTCTGACGGCCATCCTTCTGACCTTTTTATGTCCAGCCAACCTGGGCGATGTTTCTGTCCAACATTTTAAGGGTTGTCGAGGGTTGTGCCAGCATGCATCTTACCAGTGCGCCGTGATGGGGGTTGGAGGGGATTCCTGGACCCAGGGCTTGGACACGCACTGCTCATTGCACCTCACCGGTCCCCACATTTCTCCTTCCATTCACTCTCCTGAGGTTTAGTGGGCACCTACTACATGACAGGCCTTCTTTTAGGTATCGGTGAGCAAGGCAGATAGAGATCGCTGTGCGGGCCACAGAGCCTGGCCGCCTGTCGTACCGCTGGGGCAGGGGAAGGCCCCTCAGTCCTGCCGCACCTTTGTCTTTCTCTGCCTCCCATGTCCTGGTGTCCTGACCTGACCCCTCAGTTCTCCGTGCTCCCGGGAGGGCCTGCCAGTGGGTGGGGAGTTTGGGCTGCTTTAGGGAAGAGGTCTTAGCCCAAGTCAAAGGCCCTGACCACAGGGCCTCCACCCTCTGACCTCTGGGGCTGCCTTTTGGGACCTCCTGAGCCCTCAGCTCCCCCATTCCTGCCTCTACCTTTATCATGTGGCTTCTGGTGGGAGGTGGGGGCTGCGCTCCCATGGGGGGCAGGGTGATTGCTGTGGGCTCTGTGGCTCCCATGTTGCTAACCAGAGTCTCCCTGGCCCTTCTCAGCATCGCTGGCAGGCATGAGGCTGGAGGAAGGTGACATTGCGGTAAGGTGACTTCTCCCACCCACGCTGCGCCAGCTCTTCTGCCCCGGGGGTCATTTTCGCTGCCTGTCAGGGTGTGCTGCTCCCAAACAGCAGCTGAGTAGGGGGACCCAGGCCCCAGGCCCTGCCCACGTCATCTGTCTGAGAGGGTCATTTGCCTTTGCCGAGTCCTCTGCCTGCCTTGGCAGTGCCCAGTCTTGCCGGGCACAGTGGCAGAGGGTTCAGACATCGGGCCAAGGGCTGAGAGCTCCCGGATGAGTTAGGAAGACATCACCCCTGCCCTCCTGGGTTCAGCGGGAAAACCACCGGGGAAGCCAATCCCCACGGCACCTTTAGTTAGACACGGTTGTGCTAAGCGCTAGAAAATCAGTCCTTAGGATCCGAGACAGCCGTAGCAGGGGAGCTGACCTTGGACTCTTCTGGTGTGGGAGGGTCAGAAGAGGTTTCTCCGAGGCAGTGGCACTTAATCTGAGGCCTGAGGAGTGACATGGTGGGGCCAAGGCGCCTCACCTCCACCCGTCTCTCCCTAGGTCAGCCTGGGCACCAGCGACACCCTGTTCCTCTGGCTCCAGCAGCCCACGCCTGCCCTGGAAGGCCACGTCTTCTGCAACCCGGTTGACCCCCAGCACTACATGGCGCTTCTGTGGTAGGTGGGGTCGGGACGGAGGAGGTGTGGGCAGGCTGGCCCCCACCTGGAGCCCCTGAAGCCGTTCCACTGAGCAGGTTCCTGTGGGCAGCCGAGCCCCCCGGGACTCATTGGGTCTTGCTGACAGCAGAGCTGGGTGGGGAAGAACCCAGCACCTGGAGTCTCCAGTCCCCAGTCCCCAATCCCCAGGTGGGGTTCAAAACCCCACCACCCACATCCTATACAGCCTGGGGCAGATGCCAGCCGTAGTATGCCTGAGCCACACTTTGCTCATAAAATGAGAATAAGAGCGTTTACTTTGTACTGTTGGGACATGTTTGGCACGTGGCACTGCCTGACAGTTCTTACAGAAAGGGTGTGCGTGTGCTCTGCGTCCTGACCACAGGCTTTTAGAGACACTGGAAGCTACTCAGGGAGGTTTCCAAACCTCTCAGCCCCAGGAGCCGCTGGAGGACGTGTAGGTCTAGAAAACCTAGCCAGCCCCTCCCGGTTGCCCAGGTGGTGCAGTGTGCAGAAACCCAGGGTCCCCGTCCCTCCCCGGGCTCCTCTGTGTTTACAAGGCAAACTGCTCTGCAAACAGCCCAAGACAAGTGCATTTCCCGGGGATTTCCGAGACGTGAGCTGGCCCCGATACCTGAGGGGGGACCTCAGGTCCCTGCCGTGCAGGGGCTGGGGCTCGTGGTCCAGCCTGACCTGCAGCCCCTCGACTTGGCGGCACGTGGGTCCAGCCAGCAGGCACCGGGACCCTCCCTCAGGCTCATGGGCACTTCTGCAGCTTTAAAAACGGCTCTCTCATGAGAGAGAAGATCCGAGATGAGTCGGCTTCCTGCTCCTGGAGTGAGTTCTCTAAGGCGCTGCAGTCCACGGAGATGGGGAATGGTGGAAACTTGGGTAAGCTGTTGGGTGGTGCCCGGGCCCGTGACGGGGCAGCAGCTGCCTGTGGTGGGGGGTGGCAGGGCCCGGTGCCCCATTGGTTGTGGGGCGAGGAGGGCCAGGGAGAAGCCCAGGAGCGCCCTGACTGCCTGTCCTTCTGCCCCGTGGACCTTACCGCTGGTGTGAGGCCCTGGGTTCGGAGTGAGGCAGGGTTGGAAGCTGCTGTTGGCGGCCTCTCTGTGCCCTGCGTCTTCTGTCCCCCTCCAAGCCCCTGGTGACAGCATCAGAAATGGCAGCCGCAGCCCCTACTGCGTGCATCCCTGTACATAACCGTCTGCTGGAGGCACAGCGTCCTGTTAGGAGACGTGCCCAGCGTCTGCAGCAGGCCTCTGGGCAGGGAGGGCACGTGCCTCCCTGGGTCCAGCTGTTGGTAGCGACAGTGGCGCCAGGTGGTAGACGGGTGGGGTCAGACTGGACCTGGGTTCAGCGACCTCAGTTCACCAACCTCAGTACGTGAGTTCCGGCTAAGAAAGAATTCAGAGCCAAGACTCAGACTGTAAGAGAAAGTCTATTTAGAAAGCCACAGAGGCGGAAGAAGTGGCTGTAGAAGAAGTGGGCTCAGGAAACAGGTTCCAGAGGCAAAAGAAGGGCCCCTTGGAACTTAGGAGAGCGAAAGGCAAAGGTAATGCGTCCGGCGGGGCGGGGGCGGGGGGGGGAGAGAAGGATGATGGGAAAGGCGTAGACACACTCCCCAAGGGGAGAGCACACTGGGTCCTCCATCCTGAGGGCTTTTAAGGGTGGGGATTTTAGGGGCCGTCCCAGGGGAAGATCTCCATAGAATAGTCATCAGCTTTTCAGGTGTGTCCTTTCAGGGTCGAGGTCTTCAGTGATGGGTGGGTACCAGGGCAGGGGCCGTGAGTCAATGCAGCTGGTCCTCAGGTCAGTCGTGGCATCACTTGTCTGGTTTTGCTAGTTCCCCGAGCCCGGAGCTGGAACGCAGCTGAGGCCTAGATGTATTTGGTGCAGGTCAGAACTCCGCTGCCCTGGGGGCTTAATGCTTACAGGCTATTATTCTACGGCTCTCTGATTTGGTTCCCTTCCAAGGGGCTCTAAGCTGCATGACCTGCGATGGGAAAAGTCAGGGGTTCTAAACTGCATGACCAGCGATGTTTCTATGGATAGAAAGGTTACCCCAGGGGCGAAGTCCTTGTTTTCTGTGGTCAGGCACCAGGGCTTTCCGCTCTGGTGACCCTCTGTGCCCCGCCCATCGTACTTGCTCTGCTCACGTCTGCCTGACCGCCTGCCACAAAACCCGTGTGGTATTTCAGGGCTGGTGGCCAGCTGCCCCTGGCCTGGCTGCCAGGGGAACGTGGGAGGGGCTGTCTAAGACAAGGTGGGCCTTTCCAGTTGTCCTCTGTCCTGCCGGAGGCAAGGAAGTGAGGGTGTCTGTGACATCATTGGGCAGATGAGTAGGGCCCCGTAGACAGGGGTCATCGCATCTCACCCTTTTCTAACTCTTGAAAAACCCACCTTTTGTTTTTGGCCACTGACAGCTAGTCTCTTCCTGGTCCGTTTCAGGCTTTTATTTTGACGTAATGGAGATCACCCCTGAAATGATCGGCCGCCACAGGTTCAGCGCAGAAAACCGTGAGGTACGTACGTGTGAGACTGACTGGTCTGGAACTACATCGACTGCATTGCTGACTGTTAAATTTAGCAGCTGCCTGTCAAATTTCGCCACTGTTAGGGGCTTCATTCCTTCACTCACTCATCAATAAAACACATTTTTGATGTGCCAGGGTGCACGGTTAATGCTGGGGAGTCAGCAGGACCTAAGACGCGAGCCCTTCTCCCAGACAGGAGTGCAGAGCCCCTCCCTCAGGGGTCTCCCCTGAGCTAATGCGCTCGCACTGACGACCACTGGGCGTCAGAGCGCCCGCTTCCTCGGCAAGATTCATCCCGCACCTACCAAAGACTCACAGATCTCAAGACCATGAATTCCTGCCTCTTTGAAAGAGACTCTGGGGCTGGGGGAGGGAGGGAGCACTCACATGTATTGAGCTCGGTTTTCTTCTAGACACTCGCCTGGTGGTTTGTTTGTTGTTTTTGGTTAAATTTTTATTTTGATCCTCACCTGAGGACATGTTTATTGATTTTAGAGAGGGGGAAGGGAGGGAGAGAGGAGAGAGGCAGAGAAACATCGATCAGTTGCCTTTTGTATGCGTACTGACCGGGGATTGAACCTGCAACTTAGGCACGGACCCCGACGAGGAATCGAACCAGTGATCTTTCAGTTTGCAAGATGATGCTCCAACCCACTGAGCCACACCAGCCAGGGCCTGGTGGTTTTCCTTCTTTTTCTCATTTACCTCTCAGAGGAACTCTGTGAGATAGGTGTTGCCAGCTCCTTTACAGATGGAGAAATTGAGACCCAGAGAAGTTAAATAGCACGCCCAAGTCACGAGGACCTAGGTGGTAGAGGGGCTCAAACCCAGTCTCCTCTGGCCCCGAAGCTGCTGTTTTATTCCCCCCTCCCCCATGTGGCCTCCCAGGAGACACCTGGTTCTCCCTCGCTGCTTTGAATGGACTTGTCTATGAGACAGCCAGCGGAGTCAGCACCACGTTGTGGGTTGGACCTCGGAGATGTTTCCAACCCAAACAACTGTCTGAGGGCCGATGAGTCAGTCTCTGAAGTTGGCGTTGGCTCACAGGGCCGATGGTGGCGTCACCTATTGGATTGTAAATAGAAGTGGGGGGGTCCATCCCCGTCTTCTCATGGAGGGTCAGTTTGGGTTCTGTTGTTCATCACAGAGAGTAGACATGCCTGTTCTCTTCTGTGTGAATCTGTCTGGGTTTGTCAAGGGAGAAGGTGGTTTTCTTCATTCCTCCCATCATCGGCTGCATGATCAGTACCAGGTGGTGCAGACACAGAGAAGAATGAGGTACCCATGGCGCCCACTCCATGGTGTCTGTTGTCTAGGAAGGAACAAAAACATGTATGAGTACAGTGTGCAGTGTGGCTAGGGAGGAAAAGGACAAGGTGCCCCATGAGAAAGCAGGGGTGAGCTAGATGGGGTGACCAGGTGTGGCACCTCTGAGGAGGTGGCCTTGAGGTGGGCAGACGTCCCGGCAGAGGGAGCAGTCGGAGGCACCAAAAGTAGGTGCGTCGAGTTGGGGTAGCTCAGGAGGGAAAGGGCAGGAGTGTCCGTCACTGGTCTCAGGGGCTAGAGGTACAGGCCAGGCTGAGAGGTACCCACCAGCGTTAGCCTGAGGGCGCCCCACAGCAGCCGGTTCACAGTATAAGCTCCTGGCTCTCACTTAGGGTCAACTGTGTAGACCAGGCTCTGTTGTCTACCTTGATCGTTGTAACAGCCTACAAACACAGGTGCTGCCCTGGCCAGGTGGCTCCGTTGCTTGGAGTGTCATCTCATACCCCAAAGGGCTGTGGGTCCTATTCATGGTTGGGGCACAAACCTGGGTTGCAGGTTCGATCCCTGGTCAGAGTGCATGTACAGGAGGCAACTGATCATTGTTTCTCTCTCACATTAATGCTTCTCTCTCTCTCTCTCTCTATAGAATCTATGGGCCTGTCCTTGGGTGAGGATTTAAAAAAAACAATGGGTACCACTGTTATCTCAGTTTTGTTAAGAAAGAACACAAGGCCCAGCAAGACGTGCATCACTTATTCCAGGCCACAGAGCTGAGCGGCAGAGGCAGAGCATGAACCGGTGGTGGCCTGAGCTCTCTGGTGCTCTGACTCCCCAAAGTGGTACTCACGTGAGGCTGCCAGCACATGTGTGTGAGGTGTGTGTGTGTGTGTGTGTGTGTGAGAGAGAGAGAGAGAGAGAAAGGCAGTTAGTGGTTCAGGAGCCCAGCTATACAGGAGCTCCACTGGAGGCCTGAGTCATGAGTTCCGAATCTGGGTTTTTGTTTATTTTTTATTAAATTATTTATTTGTTTATTTTTAGAGAGAGAGGAAGGGAGGGAGAAAGAGAGGGAGAGAAACAGTGATGTGAGAGAGAAACATTTATTGGTTGCTTCTCACACGACCCCAACCAGGGACCTGGCCCACAACCCAGGCATGTGCCCTGACTGGGAATTGAACCTGTGACCTTCTGGTTTGAGGGACGACGCCAAACCCATTGAGCCCCACCAGCCAGGGCTGGGTTATTGTTTAACTTGGTAACATGCACACGTGCATGGACAATGAAAGTCCTTCACTCCGCGCTCGCTTTCCCCTGGAGACAGGTCTCAGCGTTCCCCAAGGATGTGGAGGTCCGAGCCCTGATTGAAGGGCAGTTCCTGGCCAAGAGGATCCACGCCGAGGGCCTGGGCTATCGAGTCAGTAAGTGAGCTGCTGGCGGGCTGTGATCTGGGCTGGGGGTCCGGGGTCCCACTCACACTGAGGCGCCTGAAACCCTTGGGACCTTCAGGCATGGCCTGGCGGGCACTGTCTGTCAAGGCTCCATTGCGGGGCCTCCCGAAGGAGAGCCCAGGAGCCTGGCCCCTGGTGGCGGCTGACAGTGAGTTGACCGGCGCTTGTGGGCAGGCTGCCCCTGGGAGGCAGGCTGTTCCTGCTTCTCCACTCTGTCCTCAGTGGCCCGGTCCCCTGGCCGGGAGCTGTAGGGCTTAGAGATCCTCCTTAGAAGTTTAAGTTCCAGCCTGCAAACTGAATGTCTCAAGCTCAAGCTCTGGACCCTGAGGACAAGGGCCATGCAGGTGCTGGGGCCGTGACTGCACCCTGGCCTCTCTCTAGCCTGGCCAGGCCCCCGCCTGGGGGGCAGAGTACTGGGCATTCCAGTTTGGGCAGGGAAGAGTGGGCATGTGCAGTTTGGAATGGAGGGGCAGAACCGGGGTGGGAGAGGCACGTGGGGGAGAAAGGGATTTCTGAGAACTCCACCTAGGGAACGGGAAGCTTTCGGAGGTGTGTGAGTTCCCGCACTGATGGCCTTGCTGTGCTCTGGGGGTTCTGCAAGGTAACCAGGCTTCTAGGATGTATCTGTCCTTCTGGGCAGCTGCTGTTGTCACTAGAGAGGGTAGGAAACTCCTGAAGCCTCTTGGCTTGATGGCCTCTTCATGGTACTTCTATGGGCAATCTGAGTTCTATGTAGTATATGTGTTATGTTTTTGAACCCACCAAGTGAAAGGATATTCTAAAAATAAGCTTCAGGAAAACTGTTTGAAAACCTGTTAGGCAGCACCTACTAAAGCTACAAGCTCACCCCTCGGCGAATATGTGTTCAAAATGCGTGTACATGTTCCCCAAAGACGTATAGGAGACCATTCCTTGTGGCTCTGTGCTTGGTAGCCCCACACGGGAAACACCCCGACACCCATCGATAACAAGCAGGGCAAGTGCATTGTGGGTATTCATGCAGTGTGATACTGCACAGAAACCAAAGTGAACCAGCCTCAACTACACGCAGCAGAATCGGTGCATCTCACGCAGTGGAGCTCTGAGCAGAAGCCAAGCACCGAGTATGTATGGCAGGCTTCCACGCACATCAAATTCAAAGACAGACCAAACTGTTTGCTGTGGTCAGAAGTCAGGATAGTTAGCAGTTACCGTTCAGGAGAGGGGCACGAGAGAACCTCTGGGGTGCTGGTGATGTGCCGCCTCCTGGGATAGGTGGGTGTTTCATTTGTGAAAATCTGTCAGGCTATCAGCTTATGATGTGTGTGTAGATTTTTCAGGGTGTGTGTGTGTGCAATAAAAATGCTACATGTAGTCACGTGCCACGAAAACGATGTTTCGGCCAACGACAGACCACGTATAGGACAGGGGTCTTACAAGGTTAACATGGGGCTGAAAGTTCCTATCACCCAGTGATGTCATAGCTGTCGTAACGTCATAGCGCAGTACCTCGCTCACGTGTTCGTGGTGATGCCACCGGTGTAAGCAGACCTGCTGCGCTGCCGGCTGTATAAAAGTACCGTACCTCTTCTAGGTTGAGATATGTTTGGATACACGTATGCTTCCTGCTGTGTTTCAGCCGCTCACAGTGTTCAGTACGTGACATGCTGTACGGTGGGGTTGTGGCCCAGGAGCGGAAGCCTCGGTGTGCGGTAGGCTAGTGATGCGTGGGTCACCGGCCAGCAGTGATCACAGAACGCTGCGGATGGCTCATCAAAACGCGAGAAAAAACATGCACAGAGACAGACCAGTTTCTGTGGAGAAGTAAGGACAGAACGGCCACCCCCTCTAGTGGGGAGCGTGCCGATTTACCGTCCAAACCAGCTTTTATTGGGTTGTTTTGCATAAGAATTCAGGTAAAGCACATTACTCATTGTGAGGAAGTAAGGATCAAACGATAGATAACAAGGAACTCTGTGGGTCTATTTTGAGTCAGGGTCAAAGAGCTGTAAGACTCTAATAAGGAACAAACTAACTTCCTCCTTGGACCCTTCTCATTCAACTGAGAGCGTTCTGAACAAAGAAGGTTTCACAGGAATTTACATGTTCTTTCTTAGGCCTGATCACCCGGGGAATCCGCCCTTTCCAGCTCAGGGCGGCACCACCCTGTCATTGTTTCAGGCTTAGGTGGAGCAAGGGAAGTAAGGCAACCAAGAGATTAAGAGATTTTCTTGCAGAGCAGAAGTACTTGGGCTTTGTCAAAGCCAAAGGGTGAGAGTCCATCACCCCCTTTTGCTGTAGCCCCCAAAGTCCTTCTTTTGGGGGCCTCCCACGTGATCGTGCCTGTCTTAAGTCGTTCCCCCCTTGGGGAATCTTACTCGTCATTGGCTAACCGACCAAGCATTGGGGTCCAGGCAGGGTGAGGTATGAAGGAACAGAAGCAGCACTCCTGTCAGGGAGATAAGCTTGTCTCCTTGCTGGCTGGTTCCAAGGGCGTCGTTCCCTCAGCCTTAGCCTAGGCGGGGTTGCAGCGTCTGATCCCAGGCAGGGCGGTTCCCAACAGGCTAAACTATGCGGGTGTGCGAGGTGCACTCTGTGGTGTTCACACGACGACATTGCCCACCAGTGCATTTCTCAAAATGTTTACCCTTGCACGGCCATGCGTGCTTGTGAACAAATGAACATTTATAAACATACTCATTCCTCTCCACCCTTCCACTCAAACTGCAAAAAGAAATTCCCCAAATCTCTCCAAGACCTCCAAGTTCCCTGAGGAATGCGGTCAGGTGAGCAGGGCAGGGATGGTGCTGAGGTTGGCAGCGACTGCCTGACAGGAAGGGTGCCCTGGTTGTCAGGAGGGGGTGGGTGGGGGCTGGAGGCTGCCCTCACAGGTCAGTGTGCAGGGAGAGGCAGCGAGGACAGAGAGGCCCTCCTGGGCTCCGGGGGGTGGTGTGGTCTTGTCGTCATTCCCAGCCTCCAACGTGGCTCCTGTGCAACAGTGTCAAGTTCCTTATCCTCTTAGCAAGCTTAATCAAACCTGTCTTGCCAGCTCGGCTGGGTTCTGCTCAAACCAGATCATGTCACGTGCCAGGAACTGCAGGGGGCCACACTCAGAAGAGGCATCATTTTCCCAGTGGCTGTGTGGACTGACCTGCGTGGGGTTTGTTCCGAATCGGTCATAGTCTTATTATAATAGCGTTTAAGAAGAATAAAGAGGCACTTTAAGGAAGAGTGATGATCGTGATAACAATAGCTGCTGACATGTATTGAGCACCTGCTGTGTGCCCGGCCTGGCTCTAAGCACAACAGCGCTCTGAGGTAGATGCTGCTATCACTCTCACTTCCCAAAGTAGGACACCGTGTGTTAGATCACTTGCTCGAAGCTGAACCAAGCTTCTGGCTCTGGACTCTGGGTTCTCAACAACCAGGCGAAATCTGCTTTATGCAAAGAACAATCGCTCTGGTGCTGTTCAGACACCATCAGGCACACACCTGTCCACGCTGGGCTGACGCCGTGGTCCCTCGGCAGCTTGTTTCCATGCATGTTTCATTTTGTTTAAGTTGATTCGTAAAAGCAATAAAACCTTGTCTTAGCAAGTGTGGAACATAAAGGGAACTACTTAGAATTCCATCCCCTCTTCCCACCACGTGCACCATCTGGAAGTCCCTCCAGTCTTCTTCAGGAGCTGATTTTTGTACAGCTGTGGTCCTGGTCCCTTTGTACACGCAAACCCTGGGATTTCTGCAGAGCCTGCTTCCTGGTGCTTCACCTCACCCCCAGCTGGTCCTCCTGGCAGTCAGGTGTGGAGGCTGTTTCTGATTTTCCCACGTGGATTCATGCTGGAACATCTTCCCAGTCCTAGGTGGCTTCCTTAGGGGACTGTCCTCCCTTCCCCTGTCCCAGCCCAGATGCCCCCTTCGCGGCTGAGAGTGGAGATGAGGCCGGCCGAGTGGGGCAGCAGGGGCTGAAAACACGTATTTGTTTTTAAATAGCCGTGTAACACACGAATGCCCTTCCATTGTGAAGGCGTCATGCAGCGCAGAAGCACACGGCTCTGAGTGCTGTGAGAACACAGAGCTCCCTGTGTTCCCGCCCCGCCCCAGCTCCCCAGCACCCCGCCCAGCAGCAGGCCCTGGGGGAGAGCTGGTCCGTGGTCCACGGGAGGATCAGCTCTGCCTCTGGGGCTCCGCTGGGCTCCAGTCTGCCTCACCTGCCCAAGTGCAGTTGCTAGATGGTGGGCGGGTCTCTCTCTGTCCTGGCCGAGTTTGTCTGCCTCCGGAGACGTATTATTCCGCTACTCTCCACTACCGGAAGAGCCAGCACTTAAGGGCACATCTCATCCCGGGATTTAATTCATTTAGACTCTTTGCATGTACAGTGTTTTGATAGCTTTGATAAGAGTCTGTTTTTGTTTATATTTTAGAGTTCTCTGATTGTTACATGATACAAGGAATGTTCTTTCTTGCCTATCTCCCTTTTAACTGGAAATGGAACTATGTGTCTTTTGTTAGACAGGCAACCTTATTAAACTTTTATTAGTTTGTCTATTTTTTAAAAGGTTTTATTTATTCTTAGAAAGAGTGGAAGGGATGGAGAAAGAAGGGGAGAAAAATCGATGTGTGAGAAAAACATTGATAGTTGCCTCTAGCAGGCCCCCAATTGGGGACCTGGGCCACACCCTAGGCCTGTGCCCTGACTGGGAATTGAACCAGTGACCTTCAGTTCACAGGCTGGCACTCAGTCCCCTGAGCCACACCAGCCAGGGCAGTTTGCCTATTTTTAATATTTCTAGATGGCCTATTGTCCATAGATAAGGGTAGCTTCATCTTTCTTTCAATCCTTCCATATTTTATTTGTTTGTCTTACCTTACAGCATTGCTTAGAATAGCTAGTACTATGCAATAGTGTATTGGATGGTATGAATCTTTGCTTCCTTCTCATATTAGTTCTCTGTTGCTGTATAACAAATTATCCCAAACTTAGCAGCTTAAAACAATACGAACACTTATTACCTTATACGGTTTCTGTAGGTTGAGCATTCAGGGTTAGCATAGCTCGGTGGCTCCGGCTGAGGTCTCCCCTGAGGCTGAGCTCAGCATGCTGTCTGGGGCTGGGGTCGTCTAACCACCAGACTAGCGGAGGCTGCAGGGTCCGCTTCCGAGGCGGCTGGTGGCAGGAGGCCTCGGATCCTCACCATGTAGGCCTCCGCGCAACGTGAGTGTCTCCAAGACGTGGCCGTTCGCAGCCCTTGAAGAGAGGCATCCGAGAGAGGGTGGTCTGCAGCAGGGCAGGAAGGAAGCCTCCGTGTCCTTCATGACCCAGCCTTGGCGTCCACACTCTGGCGCTCACACGAGTCAGCCTCTTCAGTGTGAGAGGGGACTGCATGCAGGTGTGACCGTCAGGAGGCAGGGGACATTCGGGGACAGTTTTTGGATCTGACAGGCACACCAGCCTTAAAGGGAATGCTTCTAAATAATCCTGTTAAGAATGATGTGTGTTGTGAGTTTTGGATATATGTCTTCATCCGTGTGAGTCAAGTCCCTTCTAACCCTGTTTCACGGACTTTGTTTTTTAATAATTAAAAAAGACATGAAGACACTAAGAAGTGGGTGGGACAGCAGCCTCACCAGCAAATCCCATGCGACAAGCCTGCGGGGACAGAACCAGCTGTAGGTCTCTCTGCCCCCTTGTCTCCTGAGAACAGCAACAAGCCTCGGGCCCATACAAGCCCTTGGTGGCCAAGGGACCCTGGAGAACAGCCTTTTCTGCCTTGGAAACTGTCACAGCCGTCCCTCTTTTCCTTTTTCCTTGCAGTGCCCAGGACGAAGATTCTGGCCACGGGAGGGGCGTCTCACAACAGAGACATATTACAGGTAAGTGCTGGCAGGCCCTCTTGCCTGCCGGTTACCTCCTGGAGCCGGGCACTCAGCCCCAGCACTGCCTCTGCTCCCACCGCACCTCCCAGGAGGCCAGCTCTGCTGCCTGATGCTCACGCCGTGAGCCAGTCGTCTTAGACGCAGGGGGACCCCACGGCCCGTGGAACTCCACTCTGTGGTATCAGCACTGGTCTCTGTCGTCACCCAGAGAGTGCCCGTCCCACACGTCACGCCTGACATCGCGTGCCAGTGTTCTTGCCTTCCTAAACGTTTCTCCCTCCCAGTGTAAAGAGCTCTGATATCCCCAGCCATGCCTCTTATCATACAGCTGTCAGGCTGTGTCCTCGTCTTCCTGGTCCTCCATTAGGCTAGAAATACGTGACCAAAATTGGAGTAGTCCACCTGCAGATGTCTGGCAATCGGGCTGTTACATCTCGGGGCTGTCAGGGTCCTGTTGGGACACGGAGTATTTTTTGGATGTAGCCCGAGGCTGCCTTAGCTGTTGGAATAACTGCCTCAGCTCTTGACTTGTCATACTCCTGTCTTAGCTTAGATTCTCGAGAGGCAGAGTCTGAAATGGACAGTCTCTGTGAGGGATGCGCTGAGAGAGTTCTCCAGGGAGACAGGGAGTGAGGGGTGCTGGCAGGGCAGGGCAAGAGCCACAGGTGAGGATGCGGTTTTGGCTGGAGTCAACCTCAGCTCCGTCCTGTGGGGAGATCTGGGACATGAACTCTACCACAGACTGGTTTCCAGCTTGGGGTAAGGGGGGCCGGCTGGCCACCCTGGGGAGGGGTGAAAATAACCTCCTGTGAGAGGCAGCCTCTGTTCAGATGAGAGTGCTTTTAAGGAGGGGCAGCTGTGAGCCGTTAGCAGCTAATACTCACAGCACGTGGTGCGGGGTGCACGCCGGTCCAGTCAGGGGATCCTGAGGGGACATCAGCTCCTCTCAGTACACGTCCTCCATTCTGAACGTGTGCAATTTATTTTGGGGGCCTAAATGGAACGCTCCATCTTTATCCCTACGAAACACGCCCTCGTTAGGTGGGGTTGGGCTTGTGAATATTAGTCGGCTGCCCAGCCCGTCTCCACCTTGACCGTTTGCTAAGCCTGCTTCCAAAGTCTCCCTGCTTGTCACTGATAAAATGCGTAAGCAGTGCGGGGACACCCTGGAGAGCCGGTCATCCTGACCCTTGCGTCACCGGGGTGTGTGGCCACGCATTCTCCCTTTAAGGCAGTGGAGGTGGCGTGGGAGGCACCAGAAGACGGATGAGGAAGGAGGGCCGGGATAACATGTGCCCGTGTTCCCTCTGGGGAACGGCTCACCACGGCCAAGACCTCTGTCCTTCCCAGGTGCTCGCGGATGTGTTTGGCGCCCCAGTGTATGTCACAGACACCGCCAACTCGGCCTGCGTGGGCTCCGCGTACCGGGCTTTCCACGGTAGGTGGATGGGTCGGGGGAGATGCCTCCGGGAGAGGTTGGGGCACTGGCTGAGCTGAGGAGGGCGGAAAGGGGAGATCGGGAGGTACCCAGTCTTTAGGGACATTGAAGTCTCGTGGGCTGCAGCGTCCTTTTTCTGCCTCTCAGCAGGCGAGAACCAGCCTCAATTTTCTGTTCCTTTGTTCTCTACGTAACCTGGGAAGGAGAGACAGGCCCCTGAGTGAGTGAGGCCTGGTCAGCGTCAGGCTCAGCAGAGCGACCTTGGGAAAGACATAGGGCATGCTGAAGGCACGCGGGCTTGGGGGTGGACAGCAGGTGGGTGGGAGACGGGGTGAAGTCCAGAGCCACCTTGTCAGCAAGAGCAGGAAGTTGAGACAATGATGAAGGCTTCAGAGCCCAGCACTTCAGGACCCTGGACAGCGGCCCAGGCCCCTGGGCTCCCTGGAGGCCTCCCTGAAACTCCCAGCCATCTCTCCACCCAGGAAAGTTCTGGCGGCAGCAGCACGTGCCCACAGGGTGTTCCTGCTTCCGTTTGGCCAATGTGCTCCGCCCCCTGCCTGCTCAGGGTGCTCCTCCAGCCGCCCACGTCCCACAGGGGCTTAGTCTTTTCCCTCTAGAGGGTCCGTTCTTCACACGTTTGCTCTCCACTTTCTGATGTGCCTTTTGGCACTTATATTTTCTACCAGCATTGAGAGCTAATTTGGGACTAGATCCTTCTTTTAATTACCTGTTTTTTATTCCCCTCCGTCCACACCCTGCCCACCTCACATCACTTCCTATCGCTTCCTGTATCGTATCATTGGGCAATTTATATCCAGATTGTCATGCTTTTAGTTAAAATCATATTACATCAGATTGGGTTTTATTTGCATTTACCTATGAGTTTTTCTTTTCTTTTTTTAACTCATTGAAACTTTTTTTTCTCTCTCCTTTGTGTCTACACTAGTTTTCTTGCAACCTACAACCTAAATACACTTTTTTGAAGAGGGCATTCAGTAAGTGATCCTTTTCTGAGGCCTCACATGTCCAGCAAGGGCTTTACTTTGTCCTCCCAAAGAAGATGACCTTGGCTGGGCAGAGGATGCTAAGTTCAAAGTACTCTCCTTCAGAACTGTGAAAACACTTCCAAAGTCTTCCAGCCTCCAGTGTTGCCCGTGAGAAGCGAAAGCAGGGGAAGAACTCCTCCGTAGGGAAGGGTCCCAGCGTTAAAGTGCATCGAGTTTCTTTTTCATTTTCCTCTTCTGTGCCTAGTTAGTTGCCAAAGGTTACCTGAGGTGCTGCCCTACGCTGCATCCCCAAAACCGAAGCCTGAGCTAAGTCCTAGCACACCGGGTCTCACCCCGAGGTGGCTCAGCCACTTTGTCTAGAGACCTGCACGCCCCAGCCGGGTCCAGGGGTGAATTTCACATGCAGCCCGTCTGTGCCTGAGTGGGAAGGCAACCAGGCCTTTTGATTGGTCTCACTGCTGGCCACCACGCCACTTACCCATTCACGCGTCCACACAGCTCCAAGCTGGGATGCTCCAGCTCTCTGATGAAAAACCGGGCCTTGCCCTGGCTGGTGTGGCTCAGTGGGTTGGGCATCATTCTGAAGACCAAAGGGTCACTGGTTCGATTCCCAGTCAGGGCACATGCCTGGGTTGTGGGCCAGGTCCCCAGCGGAGGGCATGTGGGAGGCAGCTGATCGATATTTCTCTCACACATTCACATTTCTCTCCCTCTCTTTCTCCCTCCCTTCCCATCTCTCTGAACATAAATAAATAAAATCTTTTTAAAAAATCAGAAACAACAAAACTAGGCCTCACCTCTTCAGTGGGCATGCCTTCGCTCCTGGTGATGTGTTTCCCTGTCAGTCCGATGCTACGCTTTATTGCCCAGAAATTCTTCACTATTTCTTGCCCACCTGTGGTAACCTTCCCTCTTTTCCAGCCCCGCCACTGTTTTTTGGGGTGAGTATTTATTGAGTGCCTCCTGTATGCAGGTAGTGTGTGAGGTACCAGGGCTCTCGTGGAGACCCAGTTCCTGGCCTCACCAAGCCAGGCAGGGGCCTTCAGCATGCCTGTGGCCAGAAGCGGTGAGGGTGGTGCTCTGAGGGAAGTGGACGGTGCAGTGAGTGATGGGGCAGGTGAAGGGAGAGGTGAGGAATGAGGGGGGGATGGGGAGGACAGGCAGGCGGCTTTGCTCTCCTGTCAGATGCCGGGGCTCCACTGCCGCCGCCCGGTCTCGTTATGAGTGAGCAAGACAAACCAGGCCCTGCTGTAGAAGCCTGCACTTGACATTTTTCTTTGTTCCCTCTCTTTTTTAAAAATGGTTTTATTGAGGCATGATTCTATGACATAAGAATCACCCAGTGTTAAGCGTGCAATGCAGGGATTTTTAGTGAATTTACTGAGTGGTGTGACATCACCATAATCCAGTTTTAGAACATTTTATCACCCCAGAGATAAAATGCTGTTTCTGGTTATTGTCCTTATTTGCAACACACACTGACGCGAAATGAGCCTTCCCTTCTAGGCCTTGCAGCTGGGACAGATGTGCCCTTTTCTGAGGTTGTGAAGTTGGCCCCGAGCCCCAGATTAGCCGCTACTCCAAGCCCAGGAGCTTCTCAGGTGAGAGACCATCAGAATTTGCTAATTGCATTTGCACTGCGAAAACCAACTGGGTTCCTTTTTCCCCGGGAGGTAAGTTTCTTTTTCACCTGCATTCAAGTTGATGTACTCCATGAAACAGAAATCCTACCTTTAAAAAAAAAACTTGTCAAGAAACCAGAGCAAAAGAAGCCAGGTTATCAGCTGAGATTCACAGATACTGCTGCTGTTGCAGCCCCAGGGGTCAGATAAGTCGCTGGACTCCCCTTCACATGCCCCAGGGCAGGCCCTTCTGCTTCACCAGTTCCAGAAGCCGCTGAAGGACTGTCACTTAAGCACAAGGCATGCTGGGTTTCTAGCACTCAGATCTGACGCCTGGATCCAAGACAGCTGTGTAGTCCCTCAGGCCAGGAAATCCCTGGGAGGCAGCCCCGCTGTTGTCGATCTGCTTGCCCAGAAAGCAGACTCTGAGATGTTGATTCCTGAGGCAGGAGGTTTATGGGGGCGTGCTTTTCGGATCTAGGCTGTGCACCGGGCGGAGAGAGGAGGTGAGCTGCAGGGCAGTCTCTATGGAGCCCTCAGCCATCCCCACAAGGACTTCGGAAGCTGGGATGACCCTTTAGAGTTTTACCCAGCTGGGGCGCAGGGCCAGGCCTTCATACCCCGTGTCTGTCAGTCAGTGCATGCAGGCTGCAGTCCACCCCAGGATGGGGCAAGGCAGCTCTCTAGAGCGAAAGCTAGCCCCAAAGGGGGCTACCGGCTGAGGACTAGGACAGGAAGTTCTCCATTCCTGAAGGGCAGTCTGGGCGGTGTGCACAGTGGCCACTGCAGCCCTGTTCTCTTTGCAGAAGGTTTTTGCAGCCCAGGAGCTGGGGCAGCACAGACAGAGGGCCTTACCCTTCACGGTGGTGCAGCAGGCGGCCTGAGCCTCACACTCACCCCAGTTGTCCTTGGCCTCGAAATGCCCTGGGGCGATGTGGAGTGGGCCCGGGTGGCTGCTGTGCACATACTATGTCTGTGTTACAGTGGAGGGACCCCGAGCTCAGAAACCCCCAACTTTATAAAGGAGAAGCAAGCAAAGCTGCCCAACCTTGATCCCCAAAGGACACATTATCTTTATTATCCCAGTCAGGAAAAAAAAAAAAGTTTCTTCTGCCCCCAGAGGGCGACACTACAAACATCCTTGAAAAGATGCTCCGGAACAAAAGCTGGCACCAGACATATAGAAACACCACAAAGGGTTGTTCCCGGCATATCTTGGAAGCAGAAGCTCATGCTTTCCTGGCAACAGGGAAACCCACGCACATAGGTGCCCCCAGGTGTTGTTATTTGCTGTTGTGTGCCCTTGCGTTGAAGGCGCAGCTCAATGTAGTAGAAAGATCCTACCTTGAGATCAAGGGCCTCTGGGTTCTGCCCTCATTCTGCCTCTCCCTCACCACCTGGCCTTCACCTGACCTTGAGCGGCACTTCTCATCTCCAAACCTCTGTGTCTTCATCTGTGATTTGGGGACAACATCTCTCTTGGCTATGTTTAACCTGCCAGTTGTGAGACTCAAAAGAGCATCCTTGACTATAGTAGCTTTATCATATAACAGGAGGTCTGAAGGTCACTGCCAGTGTTGGTGCAGTGGTTCAACAGTGTCAGGGCTGCAGGTCACGCTCCCTGCAGTTCTCCAGATCAGCAATGGACAATGGGAACCTCCTGAGAGCCACATAGGTCATTTCAAATTTTCTAGTCGTCTCATTTTTTAAAAAAAAGTAAAAAAGAAATAAATGAATACTTTTCATAATATTTTATGTAATCCAGTATATCCGAAATACTGTCATTTCAACATGTCATCATTAAGAAAAAGTGCTAATGTGATATTTCGCTTCCCTTTTGTCTGGAGCTTTTGGAATCTGGTGTGTACTCGGAACACCGGTTACATGTCAGGTGCTCAGAGGCACACGTGGCTGTGGTTACTGTACTGGACCCTGCAGCCCTAGGCATGTTTCAGGTGGTTGCAGGGTGTCTGCAGCTGCTCCAAACGTCATGTTCCCCCGACAACTGCATTCATGGGGCACAGAGTCTCTCCCCACACACTTACTAAGACATAGTGGTCTGTTCCCCTCAGTTCCCCCAAAAGACTGCCGCTGGGTCCTACAGTCAGCCTCGGTTGTAAGAAAGGCTGGGGGCAGCGTCTGGCTCTTTCATCCTGTCTAGAAGGAGGCCAGCAAGGAAAGAAGGTATTTGGGGAGGCAAACAGCTGCACCTGCCTCATTACAGGCAGCAAATCCTCAAGGTGGGCACCGCCACCCTCCCTGGCTTGCCCGTGGCCCGTCACTAATAGCTCAAGGAACTCTTTACCATGAAACCCAAGGGTAACCTCAGAATCCCAAACACCAGGTTGCAAGCAGGACAGGTCTGTGATTGTTGGTGTAAGTGACCTGTTCGAGAACTGGACTGTACATTCCTCGAGAGCGGGGTGACGTCCTGTTTCCTCTCTGTGGCACTTCCCGCAGTGCTGTGCTCAAGAGGAAATTCGGAACAGCAACAGTGTCTTCTCTCTGGGCTCAGCCGAATGTTGCCGTTTCTTCCTTGGAGAGGAAATCAGGGCCTCCTTACTCTCTCTGCGTTCACAGACAGAGCTGCTCTAGCTGCCCCAAGAGTAGGTCCTTATTGCATAATCAGTTACTGAAGTACTTCACGGTGGAGTTAATTAAGCCATGTCAACAAGGAGTGGGATTGGCGTGAACTAGCGGTGTTTGTGAGTCCCGAGAAAATCCGGGTCCTTTGGCCCTAAGACAACACCTGCTCACCTGAAGTGCACCAGTGTTTCTCAGGCAAGGCTCTTAGAGCCGCAGGGAAAAGAAAAAGAGCTTTAAAAAAATGAATGAAGGGTAAGCATGTGGGGTTGCATTTCCCTGTGGTCTGTTTTCCCTTTTTGGTTTTTTTATTTGAGTTTATTAGACAGCACATTCTCTATATAATTTTGTAGCCCATTTTAAAACTTCCATATCCCCCCATAAGCATTCACATTCTTAAAAATGCACACACATTATTTTTAATGACCGTATAACATCCTCTCTGGCTAATGAGCCATACTTACTCTGAGCATTTTCTGGGTCTTAGAAGTTGCTTCTCATTTTTCAATGATTATAATCCAGTGTATGTGGGCAAAGGGTTAACAAACCCTTTTTTTATTCTGTTAACTTTGTGGCTCTGTTTCCTTCGCAACTTAATAAAATGGAAAGTCAACAGTGTTCCTAGGCAACACCGCTTATGTAAAAAATGGCCTTTGATTGGGAAATTGCATCTGACATGGGAAAACCATTAATACCTGTTGGGGAGTCGTACTCAGGGCTTTCCTGAGTGCAGTGACTTCTCCCGGGCATGTAACTCCCGGGGGTTAGAAGAGATACCCCTGTGGGACACGGGGCTTCAGAGCCAGGGTGGTTCTTGCCCCCTCCCTACGGTTCAGTGTGGATTTCATCTCCTTGCACCTGAGCTGTAACCTGGGGGGCAAGGAAGGGAGAAGGCGGGGAGGCAAAGAGACCCTTTTCCGGACACCCGTGGGAACTGCTGTGCGGCCCACTCTATGGTGCCCCATTGAAGACGAGCACCTGCAGCCGCCGCGCTGACAGGTATTGTCTCCAGTGTATGCTCCGGAGACCCATGGTAGTCTTACGAGTCTGAACGTTTTGTGGTGCCTCAGAAGGCCACCTTTGGTGGGCCTGGCACCCTCTATTTAGGATTCCTTCCTTAGGGCAGCTTTGCAGAAGTAGAATCCCTGGGTCAAAGGCTATGGGCATTCTCAGGCTCCTTAATACTGATGTCAAATCAAGTCGATTCCCAAAATAGCTGCACCAGCAACTTCCACCACTTGTGCCATAAGACAGCCTTGACCATGTCTCTTCACCAGGTTTGTTTTTCTTCATTTGATAGAATTGGTAACAAAAATTGGCTTCTTGTCATACTTTACATTTTTAAAAAATCTTAAACTATAGGTTTGAGAAGTAATAGCATTTCCTGTTTTGTTTTTTTTTTTCTGAGTTGACGCTTCCTTTCTATTGCCCAGCAAAAAAAAAAACTTAATTGCGAGTAAATGGGATGAAAAGATTTCAAATTGCAAGTTGCAGAGGGAGGGAAGCTGCACCACCCCGCCCTGCTCTAAAGTGCCCTTTCTGCCCATGCAGGTCTATGCTGCCCTCCTCCCGAGGTATGCCCAGCTCGAGCAGAGAATCCTGTCCCAGTCCCGGGGGCTTCTGGAGTGAGTTCTGCAGGCCCAGGAGGCCCGCTGACCCTGCCTGCCCAGACTTGCTGATCCCTCGTGGAGATGTGGCCCTGGACACAGCGGGGATCCTCCGCCCAGTTCTGGGAACCTGCCACCCGATTCCGAGGTCCTCCAGCCTGTCCCGGATTCCCTGGAAGCCTGCCTTAGCACATCTTCCTGAGCATAAATGGGCTGCTTGTGTCCCTGTGTCCTTGTGCTCGGGACAGGGAAGCATCTCTTCTCTTGTCTTTATTTCAGGAGGCAGGATAGCACTGATTCTGGGACATCGCCAATAAAAATTGTGCCTGTTTTGCTTTTCAAGGGAGAAGGGAAGCTAATCCAGGAACCTGAATCGATAGCATAGGGGAGACAAAGCTGTCCCACATACTCTGACCTCAGCCTACCCTCTCCTCCGGTCCTGACTCTCTGGCCACTCTCCCCCAGGCCCTAACCCACAGCCACCCCCCACCCCCCCAGGCCCTGTCCATCCTGTCCCCCAACCCTGACCCTCCCTGCTGCTACCTCCCTCCTCATTTCACCCATCTGAAGTGATGCCCAGTTTCCCGGCCTGTCTTCCCCATGCCCAGCCCTCCCTTATGCTCTTACCCTTCTTTCAGCATCTGTTCCTTCTCCCTCCTCGATCTCTCCTCCCTCCCCTGCCCACCTGGTGTAACTCACCACCTCCTGCCCCAAACACGAGGTGCCTGGTGATTGTGCTTCAGTTCTGCCCACAGGCTGCCTGACTCCCAGGCACAAGAGAACACTCGGAGGCCCAGGCGGCACAGTTTATTCTCTCCCCCTCCCTGAGCCCCACCCCCACCCCACCCCCATACCCCCTTGCAATTCTCTTGCTGGAAAAAAAAACCCCTGAGAATTTCCCAACTCTGGATTTTGGTGATTCCATCCCTGCAGTGTCCTTACCATGTTCTCCATTGTCTGCGTTTCCTGTGAATTGGTGGTTGGATCTAATACAGGGTTACCCAGCCTCAGCACTATGGACATTTTGGGCTGGATGATGCTTTGTTGTGGGGGCTGCCCCGCCCACCAGAGGATGTTTAGCAGTATCACTGGCCTCTACCCACTAGATGCCATTATCACCCCCTCCCCCAAGTCGTGACAATCAGAAATGTCTCCAGGCATGGCCAGATATCCCCTGGTGGGGGTGGGGGAGCCAAGTTGCCCCTGGTTGATCATCACTGACCTAGAGGCTTGATCGGATGCATATGTGATTATTTTCTTTTTTATGTAAGACTACTTTTAGTTGGCGTTGTATTCCTCCATCAGGAGGCACACTGCGTCTGGTTTTCTCTCCTTTCTGTGATGTTTCTACCTAGCTCCATGAGTTCACTAGGGAGACAGTTTTGTTATCCCTCCTCATTTATTGGCTGGCATTCTTCTCTACACCAAACATCCCCGATCCAGTTACCCAGTGGTACTGTTTCCCCAGGAGAGGCAGAATAAATAGATTCTTTCCTCCACCAGTTTTCAAAATAATTAGCTAATTCCCAAGCATCCTCTAACAGCAAGTAGGTTTTTATTTTTAGTGTCAGTACGATACTTCCTTTCGATAGCCATTCTCCCCAACTTTTCTCCTGCTCTCCTAATCTCTCATTCATTCTTTCTTCACAGAATTATTGCTGGGCCCCAGACCTCTGTTCTCATCTACCTTTCCCTCCCATGGTTTGCTGTCTCATCGGACAACTTCATGTGTTCTCCGGCTTCAGCATTCAATACTCGTACACCAGTAATACTGAGATGTCTTGTTTCCAGCCAGCACTCTCCTTGGAGTCTTCCAGCATTCTCTCCAGCCTCCACCTGTCTTCCCTTCCTCTTTCTCCCCAAACCTTCGCCTCCAGAGTTCTTGTTTCAGTGAATTGGCAACACCATCCATCCATTCATTCAGGAATCAAAGCCTAACACTTATATCCTCCCTCTTTCCAGAAATATCTAGTCACCAAGCGATACTGGTTATTCCTTTGGCATCTCTTTGGTAACTCCTGAAGCAGTTCCCTTCCCTCCATTCTTGCTGTTTACTTTACATTCCTTTGTTTCTTGCTCAGATGATTGCAAAACCTCCATAGAAAGTCCTCTCGGACCTGCCTCCTGCAAAATTCTCTAGATTTATTTTCTTCCATGGGCTTAAGTTAGCACTTCAGTTAAACCACACTGCTTGTGGTCTCACCCAGAGTGGAAAATACTGCAAACAGGTCTGAGGTCTGGTGGATCAGAGCAGTGCCTGGTGCACTGTCAAAAGGAAGGGGTTGAGAAAAATGAATGGGACCAGAGGCATCACTTCTAGGAGAGAGGAAGTCATCTTGAAATGGAGTGGTACCCCTTGCAGGCTTGGTGGGTGATGGGAAAACAAGGAAGCAAGAAGCTGAAGATGTAATTTTGTATTATCAACCAACAGAGCTCTCTTGGACCAAGAGGTAGACAGCCACTCTTCATTCCCCATTTTACTTCTGCCCCTGTAGAGCTGCCCGTTAGTGGAAGTGTGCAAACATAAATAGAAAAAGGAACTCACCATCTATCGAAACACAGGAAGAAAACAATGAGAATCTCAAGTTTTCAAGTTGGTGAACTACTCCACAGTAGAAAGGAACAAAGTCAGTAAATGGAAACAACTGTCGAACATGAGTTTTAAAATAAAGTTTAAAACATAATTGTGGATGTGAAAAACTACCACCGATCGGGAATTCAAAAACTCAGAAGAAAAATGAAAAGCAACGGACATATGGGAAAAGAGAACGGATCAAACTTGGGAAAGACTGAACAAAAAAGGTAAAGTCATCATAGTTTTGGAGCCTGAATTACAACATAACTTGAGGGAAAATACTAAATAACCACAAGTACAGTAAAGCATATAGAGAAAAGGAGTGAAAAACAAAAACTCAGCAAAAATAATATACAGGAAGAGCTTAAAAAGCCCAGAAAAAAATGATAGATAAAAAGACAGGCAAAGAAAGACTAACAGGAAGAATCCTGAAGCCAAAAGGTAAGACAGTGGGACAGCGTTAATATTTATAACTATGCCCCAAGACAAATTTCTGAACACAAAAGAAGACCTGAATCTGTATCTTAAAAGGGCCTAACATGTTACTTGGAAAATTGTCCCAGGACGACCAGCTAAGAAATATCTTAGCCAGCTATAAAGGCAAGCGGGGGGTGGGGGGGGGGCACGGGGCAGGGCACTCTCTAGGCCAAGGGACCTAGACTCTTACGAGGAAAAGTCAGGCTGGTATAGGACTTCTCACAGAGCAAGTTGCAGTGGAGCAACATTTTCAAGAAACTTGGAGACAAAAAATGTGAAGTAGGTTTTTAGTATCCATCTAAGCTGTCCACGTATCAAGAATACATATTTTAAAGTTTTTTAAAATATATTTTATTGATTGTGCTATAACAGTTGTCCCATTCCCACCCCCCTTTAGTTCTCTCTGCCCTGCACACCCCCTCCCACCCACATTCCCCCCCTTTAGTTCATGTCTACGGGTCATACATGTAAGTTCTTTGGCTTCTACATTTCCTATACTATCCTTGCCTCCCCCTGTCTGTTTTCTACCTACCATCTATGCTACTTACTCTCTGTATCTTTTCCCCCCTCCCTCCCCCTCCCCTGTTGATAACTCTCCATGTGATCTCCATTTCTGTGATTCTGTCCCTGTCCTAGTTGTTTGCTTAATTTGCTTTTGTTTTAGTTGTGGTTAATAACTGTTGAGTTTGCTGTCATTTTACTGTTCATATTTTTTATCTTCTTTTTCTTAGATAAATCCCTTTAACGTCTCATATAATAAGGGCTTGGTGATGATGAACTCCTTTAACTTGACCGTATCTGAGAAGCACTTTATCTGCCTTTCCATTCTAAATAAAAGCTTTGCTGGATAGAGTAATCTTGGATATAGGTCCTTGCCTTTCATGACTTGGAATACTTCTTTCCAGCCCTTTCTTGCCTGCAAGATCTCTCTTGAGAAATCAGCTGACAGTCTGATGGGAACTCCTTTGTAGATAACTGTCTTCTTTTGTCTTGCTGTTTCAAGATTCTCTCCTTATTTTTAATCTTGGGTAATGTAATTATGATGTGCCTTGGTGTGTTCCTCCCTGGGTTCAGCTTCTTTGGGACTCTCTGAGCTTCCTGGACTTCCTGGAAGTCTATTTCCTTTGCCAGATTGGGGAAGTTCTTCTTCATTATTTTTTCAAATAAGTTTTCAATTTCTTGCTCTTCCTCTTCTCCTTCTGGCACCCCTATAATTTGGATGTTGGAATGTTTAAGGATGTCCTGGAGGTTCCTAAGCCTCCCCTCATTTTCTTGAATTCTTGTTTCTTCATTCTGTTTTGGTTGAATGTTTCTTTCTTCCTCCTGGTCCACACCGTTGATTTGAGTCCCGGTTTCCTTCCCGTTACTGTTGGTTCCCTGTACATTTTCCTTTATTTCACTCTGCATTGCCTTCATTTTTTTCATCTAATTTGCAACCAAATTCAACCAATCCTGTGAGCATCATGATTACCAGTGTTTTGAACTGTGCATCTGATAGGTTGGCTATCTCTTCATTGCTTAGTTGTATTTTTCTGGAGCTTTGATCTGTTCTTCCAATTGCAGCCATCTTTTTTTGTCTTGTCACGCTTGCTACATAGTGAGGGGCGGAGCAACCCACCCACGCCTTAGGTATTCACCAGGGCGGGGCAACCCACGTCACTGGGTTGTGATGCTGTATGTGGGGGAGGGGTCCGAGAGGGAACAAAGGCGCCTACTCCTTTCTCTGCTGGATTCAGTCATGTTCCCCGCTACCCACAAGCAAATGGGCCCTTCTGGTGCTGATTCCCAGGTGGGTGGGCTTGTGTACATTCTAGGACCCTGCGGGTTTCTCCAACAAACTCTCCTGTGAGGCTGGGAATTTCTTCTGCCGCCTCAACCCCCACAGGTGTTTTCAATCAGTGGTTTGAGGCTTTATTTCCCTGCAGTGGGACCCCAGGTTGCGAGGCCTGTCTCGCTGCCCAGGTGTTCCTCCTGGTTTATCTGCTCCTGAATGTGGGACCTCCCATTCCACCAGCCACCGCCTGGCCACGAGTCCTCTCTGCTCGGCTGCCTGTCTCCACCCCCCCTACAGGTCTGGATGGATGTTTCTTCTTTAACTCCTTGGTTGTCAGACTTCTATACAGTTAGATTTTCTGTCAGCTCTGGTTGTTTTTTTGTTTTGTTTTGTTTTGTTTTTAAATTGTTGTTCTCCTTTTGGTTGTGCGAGGAGGCACAGTGTGTCTACCTATGCCTCCATCTTGGCTGGAAGTCTTGAATATATTATTTTTTAAAAAGTTTTAATCATTCAAGAGCTCAGGAAAGAACTCCTTAGGTTTCTACTAAAGGACAAGATTCATCCAACTAGGAGGTGATTGGTTGGAGGAACTGAAGCAAAAGAACTGGCAGAGAGTATTGAATATCTTTAATTTTGGATCCAAGGCCACAATGAAAGTGGGAATAAGGGTGGAAGAATAATATCAAGTGGTATATGCTTTGACGAGGTAGAAGAAAGACAACTAAATAAGTGAAAAAGAAGGGAGAGAGGAAGAGGAGAGTGTAAAGCTGGCAAAGGCAGTATGTGTGAATCAATATTTAAAGTTGACAGACCGAATAGTTGAGGCTTCAATAAGGAAAAAGGGAGACAAAAGCAATATATGAAGATAGTAGGATAGTGTGAAAGTAATCACTAGGATAAAAATAGACATCTCCCTTAATGCCCACACAAACAATAATAAAGGCATTAGATCATATAGTGGAAAACACACACTAAACGTAGCACCATACATGCAGCAGACAACAAGGACAAGAGCATAGGAATCAAATTAGAAAATGGAAGGACTCCCAATAAAATTGGGATACTGGTGGGCTCACACACCAGTATCTTATTGTCCATTATTTACAAGAAACATGCCTAAAACAAGTGATCCAAAAGGGCAACAATGTACCTGGCAAATACAAATTATAAAATGCAAAGATTACAACAATATCAATATCTGACAAGGTAGAATTCAGGGGAAAAAAATAGACACGACAAAGGACATGATAATGCATTTTTTTAAGTTTTTAAAAAAGATTTTAGAGAGGAAAGGAGGGAGAAAGACAGGAAGAGGAACATCAATCAATTGCCTCACACACCCCCAATTGGGGACCTGGACTGCAACCCAGGCACACGCCCTGACCGGGAATCAAACCAGTGACCCCTCTTGCTTTGCGAGAGGATGCCCAATCCACGCTGGTCAGAGCAACATTATAATGTTAAAAGCTACAATATGCAATGAAGATATACCACCTAAGGAATGTTACAGCCTCAACCATTTGGTTTGTCAGACAACCCCTATCCAGTTATCCAGTGATGTTGTTTGCACAGGAGAGGCAGATAAATGTGGCTTCTTCTTTAATTCCATAGTTGTAGGATTTCCAGTCAGCTCAATTTCTGATGGTTCTGAATAGTGGTGGTTCTCTGTAGTGTAGTCGTAATTTTCATGTGATTGAGGGGGTGAGCCATGTTTACCTGTGCCGCCATCTTGGCTGGAAGTTCTGGATTACTTTTAGGAAGCGAATATAACATTGATCTCTCTACTAGATTGCATAATGCCCAGTTCTTCACTTATCTCTATATCCATGTATCTTGCCATGGAATTTTGTTGAGCTTTCCCCTCTCTGACTTGGCTCTGCTCTGTGAGTTTGGCCAGTGGGATTCTTACAAATATGCCATAAACTGGGCTTCAAAAAGCCCGTATGTAGTTGGGATTGCTCTCACTTCACTCTCTGCCTTTTTCATGAAAATGTTGTGCCTAAGCTAGCCTGACCAAATCCATCCTGGATCAACCACAGGGTGACCGACTGCCCCAGACAACATGTGAGTGAGTCCAGATGTGCCTAGAAGAACTGCCCAGCCAAGCCCACTCTGAATCACCAGCCTGTGTGGCCTTGGCCTAGCAGCTCAGTTGATTAAAGCATCGTCCCGAGACAATCCCTGGTCGGGGCACATAAAGAATCAACCAATGAATGCATAATGAAGTGGAACAACAAGTCAATATTTCTCTGTGCCTCTCTCTCTCTAAATATCAATCAATAAGAAAATAAATCAGCCTAAAGATTCATGAGCTAAATAAGTATCATTTTAAAACATGGAGATTTAAAGTGATTTATCACACGGCAATAGGTAACTGATATAGAAATTGGTGCCAAAGCCAACGCCCCCCTTCCGAAAACCCTCATAAATATGACATTGAAACTAGGCTGTGGGTGCAGACAAGAAAATTGGTGAGAAAATAATTACAGGTGGCTGAAAAATGCAAGGAAACCGAGTACCTGTGGTGACTTGGAAAACAAAGTGTACAACTGAACATCTGGTCTCGGGAAAATAAATTTCTAGGCAGAATGTTGAACATGTCAGCTCATTATTACTCCGAAAAGAACTAGCCAGATTTCAAGTAGAATTTAGAGGGACTATAAAGATGTTAGGGTGAAAAAAATAGCGCATCTTCATCCCTTTAAGCCAATAAAAGATGATCAAATGTAAGATATGGCTGTAAAAAGCAAAGCCTGAAAGATACTTTGCTAAGATCCTCTGAGAGAGTCAATAGAACCTTTCCAGCTGTTTAAAACAACTTTCAAGAATCTTAAGTTTCTTCCCCCGCCCCCACCCCATCCTTTTATACCTAAAGTGTCAGGGATTAGGGAGGGGGAGAGAGAGAGAGAGAGAGAGAGAGAGATCTCAAAAATAATTACGGTGTGCAGAGTGAGTTCAAATCACAAAATCCACAGATCATTTTGGGGAGCTATACTAATGAGAGCAACCCCAATATATAAAAAGGGGCAAAACGTACGTAAAAAGACTCTGGGCCCCCGACTCGGGGCCCCCAACTTCCTAAGGGCAGGAAGCAGGCTGAGGATGTTGCTCAGAAGGCGCGTTTCCCAGTGCCCTCCTGAGCGGTGTTCAAGGAGAGCGGCGCTTAGTGGAAGGTGTCATCTGTGAAACCAGGAGCCTGGAGCTCAGCGGGCTGGGATGCCGCTCGCCATGTGGCCTGCGACGATCCCCTGCCTCCTGGTAATCACATCCTTGCGGAATTCCCTGTCGAGTGCGAGCAGTAGCTGGGACTGGCTTGTAATAAATAGGATACGACAAAGGTGATGGTATATCGCTTCTTTAACTAGATTGCATAAGATCGTCACTTCCACCCTCCAAGCAGACAAGAGTTTTCCAGCAGCGGCTGTGGCGATCGTGGGGGCTCTAAGGGAGAAACTCCTTTGATGCGTCTGAGAATAGAAAGCAGCACGGGGTGCTCTGGCTTAGCGGTCCCCAACCCCTTTGGCACCGGGGCCGGGTTTCACAGGAGACGGAGGTGGGTGGAGGAGACAGGAGGCAGAGCTCAGGTGAGATTAGCTCCCCAGCCGAGGTAGAAGGATGGAGGGGGCGGGGCGACAGGAGGAGAAGGTCCAGCGAACTTCGCTGCTGCCCTGGTTCCTAACAGGTAAGGGGCGGGGCTGGGGCGAGGGCGGTGGTTGGGGACCTCTGCTCTAGCTGATAATGGTGAGGTGGGAGAGGAGAGGGGCCGATTCTATAGAGCTTCGTTAGCTATCCTAACAGGAAAGATTTTAAATAAGGAGTAACGTGATAGGAGGTACATTTTAAAAGACTGATTTATTTTAGAGAGAGGAAGGGAGAAAGAGGGACATCAGTGTGTTGTTCCTCTTATTGATGCATTCATTGGTTGACTCTTGTGTGCACTCTGACCCGGGATCCAACCCGCAACCTTCGCGTATTGGGTAGATGCTCTAACCAAGTGAGCCACAGGTCCAGGACCTATGTGGTGGACTTTTCCATAACATTTTGTTTAAATAAGGTTTCGGCTATGTAAAAAATGCAAAGCACGGAAGGAGTCTAACCTGTTCGCTCTCTGTATAAGGAAATCGAAGATCAGAGAAGCGAGATAACTCCGACTTCCAGGCACCGCCTTCGTCCTGGCTGTTTTTGTCCTGCTCCTGCCCTAACAGAGACTGTGACAAGTCAGGAGGAGGGAGCACAATTTCTGTACCCAAGGATCCTGCACCCCTTCCCTGAGCTGCGACGGGCTTCCCCTCTATAGCTGGGAGCTACCTCGGGACCCCCCCAACTTCTGGTTGTGTGATACGACGGAGGGTGGAATCCGAGAAGGAATACAGCCGCCCCCAAGAAAGAACTTGGGGGAGGTGAAGAGGGCAAGGGAGGCCCGTTTGGGAGACGAGATATTTAACTGCGGGCAGTGGGGGCAATTGAGAACCGTTTCAATGGTGCGGAGAGAAGCGTGGGGGTGGGGTGTGAGCGCCGAGGACCATTTGCAGTTACGGATGGGAAACAAGTTGCGAAGTCTCTTCTCCCTCTGCTTCTGCGCTTCTGCTCCGCGGGGCGAGGCTCCGCGCCTTCCCTCCCGGGTCCCCGTGCACGGGTCCAACTTCAGGATCCCCAGCTGTGCCCTTATGTGTGTGTCGGGGCTGGGAGCAGAGGCTGGAGGTGTGGACATGGGGGTCCACCTGTCATTTTAGAGAAGACAACCTTTTTCTGCCTGTTTGCACGACTCTCCTATGGTTCACCGGACCCTCCCTTCACAGAGGGGTAATCGAGGCCAGTGGGGTAGTCAGGACAGAGTTCAGGAGCTGTCCACCCACTCAGGGGTCTCAGAGCAGCAAGCCTTCGGGATCACGGGCTCCAGGGCCCCGGAGCAAGAATTCCGGGTTTGGTGGCCACGGGGTCCAGCGGTTCTGGGCGAAGTGGTCCCGGGCCCAACTTCGACACCTCTGTAAGCGATCCGTGCATCGCGCTCCTCTGGAGGTCCCTTCGCTTTCTCTGGGAGCACGCAGGCTGGAGGTGGGGCCTCCTTGTTGTTGTTTCTCCGGGGCCCCGCCCCTAAGGGGGGCGCGGACCACGCGGCCGGAGGGCCCGCCTCCCCTCCCCCTCCCAGGCCCGCTCGCCTCCTCTTTGTATCCAACATCCGGGTTTCCCCGCTGGCTCGTCTCCGTGGCCGTGGCTCAGGAGCCATTTTGGACTCGGTTCAGCTCCCCTCCCCCCCACCCCTCCCCCGTTCATGGCCCCTCCGGACTCGGCCCCTGCGCCCGGGGCCCGGGCCCAGCCCCGCCGCGCTATGCCCGAGTCGGGTGCTCCCTGGCCTGCGCCCTGCCGCCGCCCCCCGGCCCCCGAGTCTCCCCGGAGCCCGGGCCGCAGCCTGTGCCGCGCGCAGCGGCCCTGAGCCCGGCCCCTCCACCCGGCCCTTGGAGCCCGCACGCTGCCCAGGGACGAAGGCGCAGGAAGCGCGCGGGAAACGAGACCGAAGGGAGGAGCGGGAAGGAGAGCGCGGCAGCCGCGGGCCCTGCGCGCTCTGGGAGCGCCGCGCGGCCCTGCCCACAGGCTCCGGGTGTCCGCGGGGCGGCGCCGCGGAACATGACGGCGCCCTGGGCGGCCCTCGCCCTCCTCTGGGGATCGCTCTGCGCGGGTAAGGACGGGCGCGGCGTGGGGGGTGCGGGGAGGGCGTGCGGGGCCGACCTCGGCGGCGCGCGGTGTTTACCAACAAAGGGCGGACCCGCGGCCTCCTTGCCGCACCACCTGCACCCAGCTCGCACCTCCCGGGGCCGGGACTGGGGGCGCGCCCGGCGTCCCGTTAGCTGGTCTTAGGGGGATGATGATGTCTGTGTGGTTCCGGGTAACGGTGGAGACCCCACGATGAGGGCCGGGACCCAGAGTCCCTGGGTCGGGGGTCAGACTACACGGGCGCGGGGAACCCAAGGAAAGTGAGAGGAAAACCAGGGCGTGGGGAAGGTGGCCAAGTGGGGCGGGCAGATCTAATCCGGGGTGGCGGGCTTGTAGGTGCAATAGCCGTTGTGGGGAGGGCTATGCGACTCTGAGAGCCACTAGGTGTAGCGGAGTGGGTTGCTTTTTTCAGCTCCGAGTTCTCTGCACCCCATCCCACAAGAGTCTGTGTCATGTTCCGCGCAAGGTGGGTGGGTAGGAGCACCTTTCCTACCTTCACCCGCTTTCCCTACCGCAGACCCCACGGCACGAGATGCAGCCACCCGCGGGACCACTTTGTTTTGGGCGCCTGGGAGGGCAGGTGGGACGCGAAGGAAAACCAACAGGTCCCTCTTCCTTCTGGACTCCAGGAAGCACGTGGCGGGGGTAGATGACCCGCGAAGCTAGTGTTTGGCTCGTGCGCGTGTGGTTGAGAGTGTGCGGGTGTATATATGCGGAGTTCTACGGGGGAGGCACTTTTTCCCCTAAAACCGGACAACTGATTTCACTCTCTCAGGGTTTCTGGGGCTCGCCCAAATTGGGTGTGCACCCAGGGAGCGGCTCCACACTCTGGTTGTTGGCTCTATGTAGCTCTGGGAAGCGTGAGGGGTCGTGCATGGAAGCTCCGGGAAGCTCGGGGCCGGGGCCTCTGAGGCGCGGCTTCGGGAGCGCCAGGTCCTGCGCGCCTTTGTTCCCAACCCCCATTATACATGCAGCGCGGGTCCCTAGCCGCCCTCGGTGGCAGCAGCACGGAGTCTGGGAAACCCGCGAAGGGCGGGGCCGGGAGTGCAGGGGCGGGCCTGGGATCCCCGCGCTGCCGCGGGGGTGGGAATCCAGGATCTCCATCGCACCCCTCTCCCACTCTGTTCACCTCTTTTGAGATGTTGCTTGACTTAGCTGTGTACATCAAAGCAAGTGGGTTCTTTTTGTCGGGTTTGGTGCTTTGTATGGAGGGACCCGAGGATAGAGACCTCCTCATTGGCACCTGGGCACTCTGGAAGGGAACGTCAGGGCTCTTTTGGAGCCATTTCGTTTTTGCCTGCTTGGCCCGGATTCCTTTTAAGTGCTGTTTTGAGATGCTTTTTCCCAAGGAAAGGTAGGTATTGGCCTGTAGAGGGGAGGATGGCGGCAAGCTTACTTAATAGGCATGCACAGCTCACCTGGCTATCCCTAGAATCCTCCTGGACATTCCTGGGATCTGGAAACCCTGTCCTAATTTTTTCAGTGTGTTTTTTTACCTGTCCTCACCTTCCTCACGGATTCGGCAAGGCAGGATGGATCCTGCCCTCCCTCGCCCCCCCCAAGCACTGCATTTCTCTCCTCTTCCCTCCGGTACCCCCTGCCTGGGTTGAGTAGTGCCCTGCAAGGTGGGGCAGCTGGAGTTACACTGAAATTCAAAGACTTGTCGTTCCTGACCTGGGAGGAAAGTGGGGGTCTCTGGGTGTTACCTGTGGTTGCATCAGTCAGTCCTCTGGTGGCCACTGCTCTGGCCTTTGAAGAGCTATGGGCAGAGCTGCCCCGTGCCCAGGTGGATCCATCTGTGAATCCCACCGGAGCTCCTGACGTCTGTCTCAGTCCTGGGGGCTCGGACCAGGGCCCATGGGACCGAGTGGAGAGTGTTCTGAGTGGAATGTCAGGAGCCACTGTCCAGGGAGGGCCACCTGACTCCTCTTTGTCCCATTGAAGTTCAGGCCTTGACTGCCCCAGCCTGCCCTCAGGCTGGCTGGTCTCTGACTGCAAGGTCTTGTTCATTTCCTCAGGAGGGAAGAGTGTGTGTGGGTGAGTGAAGTGACGCTCAGGCCAGGCTAGTGGTGGCTGTCAGGGACACAGACCGTAGAGCCACAGGCCATTAGTGCCCCTCCACAGGGAAGGGTGTTGCCCCCTACCTGTCCTTGTACCTGTAGGCACTCCAGACTCCACCCAGTCTTGCTGACTAGGCTGCGGTTTGTGGGGGGTAGGCACCCTCCTCAGCTATTGGAGGCTCTTTTTGAGGTGGACGATGGGAGACACTTGCCCATCTTCCCAGGCCCTACATCTGGGTGAAAACCAGACCCAGAACCCCATGGCCTTGTGTATTATCTTCGGCCTCTTTCTGGGCGCGGAGCTCCCCGGTTAGCACCTGCACTTGCCCCTGGCACTTCACCTAAGGAACTTCCTTTTCAGGGACACCAGTGAAGAGGCCCCCATCCTACACCTTGGTCCTTTGTACCATGGGCTCCTCTGAGACTCTGATGAAAGATGCACACCCTTTCCCCAGGAAAATACAAATAAGTGTGTGTGTGTGTGTGCCCACGCACACATGCACACATTATACATGCAACTCCCTGTTTTGTGCTGATACCTGGAAACTTTGGCCCCCTGGGTTGAACTCTGACGTCCTGGCTGGCTGACCATCGTACCAGTCCTGAGGGGCAGGTCCCTATCCTGGGGGCAGGGGGCACTGGGCTTTTTCCTGCCTTGCTACTTGGACTTTGTTCTAGTCACTGGACATGATTTCTCTTTTACTTCTGCTTCTGGTTCAGATTCTGCCCAGTGCTCAGGTTCCAGCCGCGGTCCCCTCCCCCTCCCCCTCCTCCCCCAGGAAGCCCTCCCCTGAGTGCCAGTGCGTTTACTCCCTGCCTGGGAGCTTAGGATCGGACAAGGGGGACCTGGGGGACATCCTGTCAGAGTTTGGACCCGCTTGCATTTTCTGGCCCGTTACCATAGCCTGGGATCTGGGCGGGGGGGTGGGGGGAGCTGGTCTGGGTGATACTGAGGAGGATGGCACTGGGTAGACAGTTCTCAGGCAGGGTCATGGCCGGATGGGCCGCATTCTAGAACAGGGCTCTCCACCTCGATAGTGTTGACAAGTTCGGAGCTGGTGATTTTTGCGGGGTGTGCGTATGTGCTCTTGTGCATTGTGGGATGTTTAGTAGCATCCCTGGCCGCAACCCATAAATGCTGGTAGCACTTCTCATCATGACAGCCAAAAATGTCAGTGTCTGGGCAGAGGGGTGCAGAATCACCCAGGTTGGGGACCTTTGATCTAGATTGCTCTCCCGATTTTAAAGAGACAGTTTGGGAGGTGCGGTTCATGGCCAATGCCTCCTGCCAGCCTACCCCATCAGTCAGAGTGGGAAGTTGGCTTTTCCTCAAAGCCTAGGAGATTCGTGCCGCGCTAAACCTGCTCAGCGTGGGAGAATTTGGTTGGAAATGAGCGGTTCTGAAGTACCGCTGGCCACCGAGGAGAATCCTGGCGTCCTTGAGTTTTCCCAGAAGTGGTTCGGGTTTCAGGGAGGCGGTGGTTGTGGGTGGCCGGGCAGCCTGCCCGCCCACACCCGCCCACCCGCCTCCAACCGCCCGCGCCTTGAGGTTTGCACTGGCTCTTCTCCCTCCCACACGCGCAGAATGTCAGGAAGGGCCTGTTGCTGGGGCCTGGGAGCCGCTGGAGCTGAGGCCGTGCGTGCGTGCCCAGAGGAGCGCCCGGGCTTGTAGCCTGCCGCTGGCATGCCCTTTCCCCCGAGCGGGCCGGCTGCGTGGCGCCCCGAGGAGGCGCAGCCCCTGTGGGCCTGGAGCTCGGAGCCTGAGCCTGGGGACACCAGGGCAAGGGGGCAGCCGCCCCTCAAAGGTATGGGCACAGGTCTCTACGCTGGCCGCAGGGAGTCGGAGGGCAGGGCCAGGTTCCTCCCTGGACCTGGGGAGGTGTGGATAGAGCTGCCCCTGGCAGGTGCCAGCACTGGAGGCCCTGGCCGGAGGAGCTGATCCCTAGGGGCGCCTGCTTGCTGGGCTTGGCAGCCTGGCAGGCCCTGTGTTTGTTCTTCACTCTTCGCCGTCCTCCTCCTAGCACTGCTAGGCAGGAACTGGGGCTGCTGGGGGGCCCCTCGCCCACCTGAGCAGGACACAGCTGGTGGCATTGGGCACTGATGGGGCTGGACTCTCAGCGTGCAAGAACGCAGTCTTAAAACCTCCAGCTTCCGGTACTCCGCATCCCTGCGGTGCGAAGGGCTTGTTTAAAAGGGTTGCTCTCGGGGGTGAGACTTCTTAGTTCCGCCTCTTTTGGGGTCTTTTCAAAGGAACTTGGTTGCCTTCTTAAAATTCTTGATCTTCTATTCCTTCCCTCTCATCCTATCACTAATTCTTGGTTCCAGAATAGACACTTACCCCCTTGTTCAGTGCTTCCCTTTTGGTTTGTCTTTCTCCACCTGACTCACAGGCCCTTCCAGCCTGAGAGGCGCTTGTCCCTTGAGGCACCTGGCTTCCGGATGCCCAGGTTGTTAGGTGGCGATGGGGGTGGTGTGTGGGGGGATGGGAGGGGAGGGATGCTCCTGCCTTCTTCTGAGTCTTTCTTCTGTAAGTTTCTTGGCGATGCCTTCACTTGAGACAGTGCTGGGTACTTGAGGTCAACTGACGGTGTAGGCTGGGACCGTTCGGGGGTCCTCCGAGCCTCCTCATGGCCCAGGATCAATCATGGCTTCCCACCTTGGGCCACATGCTTTGCCCCTGGTTACCCCAGCCTCGCTCCGCACATACGACCGCCTGTTCCAGACTCTCGGGGGCTGGCCGCCCTGCCTGGCTGTTTTCATTCGCGTACACGTGATTGCTGGGAGCCGGGGTTGGACAGGGAGCCTGCCCCAGCAGGCAGACGCGTGTCCCTCCTCCCTCGGGGACCCTCTCTAGGGGCCTGGCTTGCCGCACAGCGGGTCTTCTCTTGGGCCGCTTTCTGGGCTG